CGATTTGTAGAGATCCTTTTGGAAAAAAAAAAAAAAAAAAGAAAGTCACAGAAAAGGAAGCTACTATTTAACTATAAGTTGGCTTGAGAGTGACAAGCATCTAGCACTGACAAAGACCAAGCTGTGACTATATTAAGAGGAAGAAGTTCAACAACCACATTAGCAAAAAGGGAGAAGGAGATTCAATAAAATTTTATTTGTCAGGAAGTGATTTGTCATTTTATTCATTCTGAATCTCCCCACCTGCAACACAGATAGCATTAGGAAGTAATTTTTTTTTTTTTTTTTTTTTTTTTTTTTTTTGATAAGGAGTCTCACTCTGTCACCCAGGCTGAAGTGCAGTAGCATGGTCCCGGCTCACTGCAACCTCCGACTCCCGGGTTCAATCGATTCCCCTGCCTCAGCCTCTCCAGTAGCTGGGACTCAGGCATGTGCCACCATGACTGGTGAGTTTTTTGTAGTTTTGGTAGAGACGGGGTTTCATTATGTTAGCCAGGATGCTCTCAATCTCCTGACCTTGTAATCTGCCTGCCTCGGCCTTCCAAAGTGCTGGAATTACAGGCATGGGCCACTGTGCCTGGCCAATAAGTAATTTTTAAGGCATCTGAGTGCCTGAAATAATATTCAACTAGCTTCGTTTATTGATTTTTCAGTTTGCAGTATACGGAAAGAAACAATACTGAGAGAGGTTTGGGATGGTGGTTAGGTTTAACTGCAAGTGACAATAGAAGGTAAATAAAAGTTGGATAGTAGTGGAGGGGGTGAAATAAACTGTACAGTACTCACAAGAATTCAACAAGATAAAGCAACATGGGGTCATTTATTACATTTCGTTTGCTACAAGAACAGCACTTTATAACAATATTATATAAAATGCTATTAAAATAAAAATAGGCTAGGCATGGGGCTCTCACTATAATCCCAGCTCTTTGAAAGGCCAAGGCAGGGTCGGGTATGGTGGCTCATGCCTGTAAATCCAGCACTTTGGGAGGCTGAGGTAGGCAGATCACCTGAGGTCAGGAGTTTGAGACCAGCCTGACCAACATGGTGAAATCCTGTCTCTACTAAAAATACAAAAATTAACCAGGTGCAGTGATAGGCACCTGTAGTACCAGCTACTCAGGAGGCTGAGGCAGGAGAATCACTTGAACCTGGGAGGCAGAGGTTGCAGTGAGCCAAGATCGCGTCACTAAGCTCCAGCCTGGGCCACAGAGTGAGACCCTGTCTCAAAAAAAAAAAAAAAAAAGAAAGAAAGAAAGAAAGAAAGAAAGAAAGAAAGAAAGAAAGAAAGAAAGGCTAAGGCAGGTGGATCACTTGAGCCCAGGAGTTCGAGAACAGCCTGGGCAACATGGCAAAAACCCCACTTCTACAAAAAAAAAAAAAAATACAAAAATTAGCCACGTGTGGTGGTGCACACCTGTAGCCCCAGCTACTTAGATGGCTGAAACAAGAGAATTGCTTGAGCCCAGGAGGCCAAGGCTCCAATAAATGGTAATTGTGCCACTGCATTCCAGCCTGAGCAACAGAGCAAGACTTTGTCCCCAAAAATAAGAATAAAAGTAAATGATGCAAGCAAAGAACTTTGAAGTGTATAAAACATTTATGAATTGTCTATCACCTGTTTTCCCTAATTGATTCTCAGATTGGCAACAATCCTCTGTAGCAAAGTAATCACTGTGTCTAATTCAGAGATGAGGAAGTGAATCATTTTAAGACGATGATTCAATTCTCTTGATCCTAGGTTCAGTTTATGATTTAAAAAATGAAGTCATTAAGATTTAAATCTGTTGAGAACGACACTATAAGAGGACAGAAACATATGTAATGTATTTAATAAAAATTTTCATGAAAGTTAGTGAAATATTTAAAATATTTTGACAATAAAGTATCATCTCTTTGGAAAAATCACTTTTAAGTCATTCGTTCTCACCTATTTGTTGAGGCCTGTGATGTGCCCAACACTGATAGGTGCTCAAAAGAGGTGGAATCCTGGTGTGTGGCCCATCACCTGAAGTTGATAATCTGAGGACGAAAATGAAACACAAACATGTTAGCCTCAGATGGGGGCCAGCAGACCTACTAAACAAATGCCTGTAGTTAGGGACTGGAAGAGAAGGCATGTGTTACTTCCAAGGTGGCTTCTTGGGGCTGGCATTTACCTTGTGATAGGTGGTTTACACAGGGGACATTCTGAGTGTTCCATAGACACTCTATGTCAATGGAGGGACAGGTGCAGAAAAGGTGAGGAAACGCGGGGCTCATCCAGAAGTGGAAAGTGCCCTGATGTGCCTGAAGCATGAAGCAAGCATTGGGCAATCTAGGAGGAAAAAAAACCCTAAAACTAAAACACTGCAAATGCATTCACATGCTCAGCCAACATTTGTTGAGGGTCTCTTACATGGCAGGCTCTGCTCTAGGCTGGGCACTCAGCAGTTAGAGGGCAGAGTTGCTCTCTGCAAAGGGCTTATGTTCTAGTGAGGAGACAGGAAAACAAACAAACCAACCACTATGTAATGAAGTATCAGGAATTGAGCAATGCTAAGAAAATCAGGCTGAAGGGACAGGCCTTGGTGCTGGCACGGTGGATTCAGGGAGGGGTGGTACGGCCTTAGACAGAGCCAGCAAGGAGCTTCTTACTGAGTAACAGACAATTCAGAAGAGAAGGATGAAATGGAAAAGTGAGATATGAATTCCCCAGACAACAAACCTCTCAAAGCTTATCCTCTTATTTAAAAAAAAAAAAAAAAGAAGAAGAGAGAAAAGAAAGAACAGAAAGAAAGGAGAAAAAGAAAGAAAAAGAATGAAAGCGAAAGAAAAGAAAGGAGCCCATTTTGCTGAGAAACTGTTTTAAATAAGCTACGGAGTATTTGAATCTCTTCTAGGATTCTGCAGCTTAATCCCATAACCCGTTTCTTCCTTCTCCATCACCTCTTCCGTTCCAATGGGCAGGAGTGAGCTCTGAAACACCCATGCACTCGCTCACACACCCACAACTAGGCTGGATCCTGTGACAAGAAATATCACAGAAATACTCCCAGCCTCTTCTACCTGCCGCATGCCCTGCACAATTAGAGTCCATAGATAAGTCCCTGGGACCTGGTCTTCTTTGTCTCCTTTGTCTCCTTCTTTTTCCTACTCACTGGTTTCCAGCCATCCCCCTTCCTGTGGTGCCCCTCTCACTACATCAAATACAGCTCTGAGAGCCCCATTCAGTCTTATGCCTTGGGCCGTAGGTTTAGGTTACTGCATTGCTTTCTGCCCCTTCTACTTTATCTACTTGTTCATCCAGGTTAAAATAATAACATATAGGAAGGGGGATGGCTTTTCAAGTTAAAGCTTGAAACTTAAGTAGGATCTAATCACGGCAACATGTGCTGTTGGGCCAAACAGAGGTTGCAAACACAAACCCCAGCAGAACAAGGCACATGATACAAGTCTATAAAGAATGACTGCAAGATACTAAGGCTAAGCTTGCTATATTTCACTCGACAGTAGGACTTGTGTGGGTGTATTGCCGTTAATAGACTGTGATTCAAACAAAACAACTATAGGCTGGCACATAAGCTGCCAGTTGGCCACCATGGTTCCCACACTAGGACTTACCCTCTGTAAATGCAGAAATCAAGAAAAGATCTTGAGCAGCTGGGGAGGCATGGTCAAGCAGTAGTTGAAAGGATTAATCCAGTGGCATTGCACAAGTAAACTGCAGGAAGCCGGGCTTAGGAAGCCAGGAAGACATGGGTGAAGGCCATTGTGTGGAAGGATGAGGACCCGGGCTACTTTAATCAGCTGTGGGAGTTTTTCTTAATTGGATAGAAAGAGACTGAAAATGATTAAAAAGGGCTGATTGCAGTGACTCCCGCCTGTAATCCCAACATTTTGGGAGGCTGAGGCAGAAGGATCACTTGAACTTAGGAGTTTGAGACCAACCTTAGCAACATAGACCTCATCTATAATATAATAATAATAATAATAATAATAATAAATTAGCTGGGTGTTGTGGTGCATTCCTGTAGCCCCACCTACTCAGGAAGCTGAGGCGGGAAGATCACTTGAGCTCAGGAAGTTGAGGCTGCAGTGAACTGGGATGGCACCACAGCACTCCAGCCTGGGTGACAGAGTGAGACCCTATCTCAAAAAAGAAAAACAAAAAAAGGAAAAAGGAAAAGAAAGAGATCAAAACTGAAAAATCATCAGGCTTCGGTAACAAATTGGAGAGGGATAGAATCGAAAATAACTAACTATATAGTTAAATCCTAGATAATGGAAGAAGGCTGGAAGCAGACGAATTTAAAGCAGAGGGCGCTAATCTGGGGAAGGAAAACGGTGTTTGAGTTGTTAGGGTTCTGGTTCAGGTTAGGGTTAGACATCCCTGCAATGCCAGTCCATCAGGCTGTTGGAATTACAGCGGCAGAACCACCGAAGGAGGCATCAGAATGGGAGCAATGTGGAATGAATGAGAATAAATGCCAAATCTGGGTACTGGAAAGGGTAAAGAGAGGGCAGAGCAAAGGGCAGAGGTTTCAACTTTGTGTAAAACTTACATTCAGAACAAAGAGGAAGCAGAAGGCTCACTCAACCAGGCAAATAAAGAGAGAGCAAAGAGATTAGGGTGAGATACAGTCCCCTCGAGCCCAAGGAGACCAAGGAGACCGGGAGGTTACAGACATGGAAAAGCTGAGAATAATCACCTCTGATAAAGACCACAGAAGCTGACTGGGAGCTGTTGGGTAAGCTTGGAGTTACGTTCCTAGGGTGGATGGGCAGGAGTCAGATTTCATAGCACTGTGGATGCAGCACAAGGAAAAGTTCAAGATCAAGTTTTAAGACAACTTGGCACTAAAAAACATGAACTATGTCCCAAAGGTTTTACACTGGGGATAAGGGAACAGAGCAGATAACACAGCAGAAGTGGCAGCCTCTGGGGATCCTTCCTTTCCATGGTTTGGCTTCTACTCCGAAGCCACTTCTTTGTGCATTCTACATAAAGTTTCTTGTCCTTTTTGGAATAAAGCTCTTATCCTAAGCTCCATTCACACCAGCGTGATAATGAACCAGCTAGCACTGTAATCAGGAAGCATGCAAAGTTCTGAAGCTTAGAACAGAAAGTGAAAGCAAACATAAATTCCCCTTCAGTCAAATCTGCGGCAGCATGATTTAAGGTAACATATCGACATTTCTCTTGGGTTTGTCTTAAAATTAGAATTTTTCAGTGAGGATAGTGAACTGAAGGTACAGAACTGCTGTGTTGAGAAGGTTTTGTAATCTAAGGCAGGGTTCTGGGAAATCGGGGTGACTGGGGCACAGCTGAACTAGAGAATGCGTGCAGTTGAGAATGGGACTTGATCTAAGACTCTGCTGCATTTACTCTCTCTCAGATACCTTTTGTCTTTTCTAAACGTTTGTGACAATTCAGGCCTCTTCAGTCCCAGGATGTTTTGTTCACTGCATTGCTAGTTAATGTACAGCGCAGTATAATAGAAAGCCCACCAGACTGAAGGTCAAAGGGCTGTTTTAGTCCTGATTCTGCCTCAAACTTCCTGTGTGGATTTTGAGAAGTCACCATCCTGTTTCTTTATCTGTTTATTTTATTTAATTTATTTAAGACAGAGCCTCACTTTGTCGCCCAGGCTGGAGTGCAGCGGCACGATCTCAGCTCACTGCACCCTCCACCTCCCGAGTTCAAGTGATTCTCATGCCTCAGCCTCCCAAGTAGCTGGGACTACAGGCATGTGCCACCATGCCTGGCGAATTTTTGTATTTTTAGTAGAGACAGGGTTTCGCCATGTTGGCCAGGCTGATCTCAAATTCCTGACCTCAGGTGATCTGCCCACCTTGGCCTCCCAAAGTGCTGGGATTACAGGCCTGAGTCACTGAGCCCAGTCCTGTTTCTTTACCTGAACATTAAGAAGTTGTACTATCTGCCCTTAAAACCATTTCTAGCTCTAAAGTTAAAGACTGTGTGATTAAATATCAAAGCTTTTCTCTCTACTCTTATCAATCAAGTACATCTCTGGGAGTGTCTGCTGCAAGTCGGGGCAGACCTACTCCTTCATTTTGGCCGTGGAATGCAAGTTATAACTCCAATAATAATTTAACATCCAGCATTCATTACTTGCTTCCTATATGCCCCATGCTACGCCATCCCAACTTCTTCACATGAATTATTTCCTTTCATCATCCCAGCATTAGGAAGGTATACTTATTACACTGTTTTATGGGTGAGAGAAATGAAGCTCAGAAAGTCAGAAACTTTGCCCATGATCACACAGGTGAGGTTGGTGGAATTAGTGTTGGAATGCAGGCACTCTGATTCCAAAGAGCCAGACCTAAGTAATTAGCCACTCCATTTTTTTTAATCCCTCCAAAATTCAAGCTAATAGGCGAATCATGATTGTACTTCTCAGAGGTTCTTGGAACATTGAGATTTGGTAGCAGTGATTTAATGCTTGTTTTTAAAAGGAAGGAGAAGTGTCTTTATTTAATATGATTTTATTTTATTTTTTGTTCCTTTAACCATATCTGTTATCTGCATTACTATCGCAAATTAAAAAATTGAAGTAATTGTTTGGATAATTAATTTTGCTGAACTTGTTAAGGATTAAAAAAGAAGCAGAAAAAACCTTCCTGGTTTGAGTTGAAGCAGTAAGGAATTTAGTAGAGGCAGCTGGCAGGATGGGAGTAAAAACTGATTCCCTAAATTAACCAGCTGTTTCTTCTAATTTCATACGTGTTGTAGATTTACCCTTTGACCAGAAAGAAACTTAGTTCTATTTGCAAAGGTAGTAAATTCAGTTTGATTTAATTGTGCTTTCTTTCTTTCTTTTTTTTTTTTTTTTTTTTTTTTTGAGACGAAGTTTTGCTCTTGTTGCCCAAGCTGGAGTGCAATGGCACACTCTCAGCTCACCGCAACCTCCACCTCCTGGGTTAAAGCAATTCTCCTGCCTCAGCCTCCCGAGTAGCTGGGATTACAGGCATGCACCACCATGCCTGGTTAATTTTGTTTTTTTTTTTTGTTTTTTTGTTTTTTTTGAGACGGAGTTTCATTCTCGTTACCCAGGCTGGAGTGCAATGGCGCAATCTTGGCTCAGCGCAACCTCTACCTCCTGGGTTCAGGCAATTCTCCTGCCTCAGCCTCCTGAGTAGCTGGGATTACAGGCACGCACCACCACGCCCAGCTAATTTTTTTTTTTTTTTTTTTGTATTTTTAGTAAAGACGGGGTTTCACCATGTTGACCAGGATGGTCTCGATCTCTTGACCTCGTGATCCACCTGCCTCGGCCTCCCAAACTGCTGGGATTACAGGCTTGAGCCACCGCGCCCAGCCGGCTAATTTTGTATTTTTGGTAGAGATGGGGTTTCTCCATGTTGGTCAGGCCGGTTTCAAACTCCCGACCTCAGGTGATCTGCCCACCTCGACCTCCCAATGTGCTGGGATAACATGTGTGAGCCACCATGCCCAGCCAATTGTGCTTTCAAAAGTAGTATAACGGGAAAAGACCCAAATCTTTTTTTAAAATTCTGTGAAAATATTATAAACTCAAAATTTATTTCCATGACTTTTGACATATTGAAAATAAGCTGAGTATAAACACCTACCTTGATCAGCAACCTTACACCAGTAGCCGTAAAATGAGGCCATTCAGATAATGTTATTGAAAGAGGTGAAGTTCAGTGCTATTAGTAGTAGTAATAATAATATCTGGTATCCAAAGAATGTAGAATATATATAGACAATTCTTTGTGACTTACGAAGACAAAATAGAGACATCTTGCACAGTTTACTTTCAGGCATACTCTTAAAAGTACACGTGTGCCTGTGGTTCCAGCCACATGGGAAGCTGAGGCATCAGGATTGCTTCACCCTAGGAATTTGAGGCCAGCCTGGGCAACATAGTGAGAAATTGCCTTTAAAAAATAAAATAAAATAGGCTGGTTACAGTGGCTCATGCCTGCAATCCTAACACTCTAGGGAAGGCTAAGTAGGGAGGATTGCTTGAATTCAGGAGTTTTAGACCAGCCTGGGTAGCATAGGGAGACCCCCATCTCTACAAAAAAAGTAGCTGGGTGTGGCAATGTATGTCTGTAGTCCCAGCTACTCTGGAGGCTGAGGTGGGAGGATCACTTGAGCCCAGGAAGTTGAGGCTACAGTAAGCTGTGATCATGGCTGCACACTCCACTCCAACCTGGGCAACAGAGCAAGACCCTGTCTAAAACATAAATAAATAAACAAAAATTTAAAATATAACTAAATGTTAAAAACATTCAACATGCAATGAATTTACACACCTACCTTCTGCTCATTGCACAAGAATTCAGAAGAAATCCATTACATTCTATTTTAAGGTAAGGGTTTTGGGGCAGTTCTAAAGGGTTTTTATTTGTAATAACCAGATGGCAGCTTAATTTCTGCTGTATTTTGTAGATACTTGGCCTAATTCTGACAGAGAGAAGATTTTCTCTTACTCACACAAATACTTTTAAATGTTTAAGATTTTATTTGTAAATTGAATTTTTTTTCTTTATGCTATAAGTGGGTTTTTTTCTTCTAGATTAAATTCATGTATTGAAAATATTATTCAGATCCCATGGGACATAACTGGAGCCAGTGCAGTGCTATGAAGAACTAGGAGATTAGCCTGGATATTAACTTGTCATATAGAGAATAGATTTCAAGTTCCGTTATTCTGCAATGGTTATTTCACGCAAAACACCAAGGTTTAATATTCACACAGGATTTTACTGCTTAGTAGCCATCTTGCCCCAAATATCCATTTGTTCTATGAGTTATCACTTCACTGAGGACCCTGGGGCTTTCCCAGTGGCTGCCAATGGGGAACCATTTCCTTGGCAGGAGCTAAGGCTCCCCAACGTGGTCATTCCCCTCCATTATGACCTCTTTGTCCATCCCAATCTCACCTCTCTGGACTTTGTTGCATCTGAGAAGATTGAGGTCTTGGTCAGCAATGCTACCCAGTTTATCATCTTGCACAGCAAAGATCTTGAAATCACGTATGCCACCCTTCAGTCAGAGGAAGATTCAAGATACATGAAACCAGGAAGAGAGCTGAAAGTTTTGAGTTATCCTCCTCATCAACAAATTGCACTGCTGGTTCCAGAGAAACTTACACCTCACCTGAAATACTATGTGGCTATTGACTTCCAAGCCAAGTTAGCTGATGGCTTTGAAGGGTTTTATAAAAGCACATACAGAACTATTGGTGGTGAAACAAGGTAAGAACTTGCTCAGGTAATTTACATTCTCTTGTGATAATTTCCTTACGAGTTACCTCTCTTTGGCAGGAGCAGACTTCAGCAGCCATTTATGAGAAATCCTGTAAACTGTGGGGAACCCAGAAAAAGGAAAAGCTCTACTATTCCTTAAGGAAACCACAGTAGAGATGAAAAGACAGGTTACAGAAGCATAAACAGCTGGAGGGTGATAACTAGAAAGAGAGGCCAGTATATGACTGTGATAAGATGGATATGCTTATGTGCTAAGGAAAGTGATGGTAGATGCAGAGAGGGCTGAAATAGGGAATGCTTCTCAAAGGAAGTGCATCTTCGTCTGGGACCAGAAGGAAGTGTAAGTGAGATTGGGGTTGGGAGAGAGGAAGTGACAGAGTATACATTGCCCAGGTAACAGCATGACTCATAGCCAATAGGCAGAAACAAGGAATAAGTTTGTTTGAAAATTTGAGAAATATGGTCTATTTGATCAAGTCACATTCATTGAGCACATACTATGTGCCAGGCACTGCACTAGGCACTGAATGTATAATAGTGGGATCTGATGGAAGAGACAACCAGGACAAAAAAATAAAAAAAAATTGTGAAGGTAAGTGGACAGAGCTATGAATGAAATAAAAAAAGGTACAAAAAAAGTAGAAAGTGTGGCTGGGGATTGAGACTAATTCAGATGACTGGGCAGGGAAGTCTTTGTTGAGGAAGTGCATTTAAATTGAGAGCTGAATTTTTTTAAAGAAACAGTTATGAGAACATCTCAGGGCAAGTGCAAAGGCTGTAAGGTGGGACTGAGAGAAGCAGGCCAGTGTGAGCTGAAGACGGTGAGCAAGAGGGAGAAAGGGATCAGATCATGTGGAGCCTTGGAGTGTCTTATAAGGAGTTTTGACTTTTACTTAGATGAGATGGGAAGTCATTGGAAGATTCTACTCTGATTTATGCTTTGTAAAGATCAAGTCTATGTTGAGGGTACAGAGAAGCAGAGTAATCATTTGGGAGGTCATTGCAGTAATTCAGGTAAGTGATGGTAAGGCCAGGTGTGGTGGCTCACGCCTGTAATCCCAGCACTTTGGGAGGCCAAGGCAGGTGGCTCATGAGGTCAAGAGATTGAGACCATCCTGGCCAACATGGTGAAACTTCGTCTTTACTAAAAATACAAAAATTAGCTGGGTGTGGTGGTGCATACCTATAGTCCCAGCTACTGGGGAGGCTGAGGCAAGAGAATTGCTTGAACCCAGGAGGCAGAGGTTGCAGTGAACCAAGATCACCACTGTACTCTAGCCTGATGACAGAGTAAGACTCTGTCTCAAAAAAAAAAAAAAAGTGATGGTAATTTGGGAAAGGCTAGTGGCAGTGCTTATGGAGTGAAGCAACTGAACTTGGCAGTTATTTTGGAGGGCAAAACAACAGAGATTGCTGACATTGGTCATGTGAGGTGAGGGAAAGAGAAGAATCAAGGATGCTTCATGGAGTGGATGGTTTGGTTTTCCAGGGCCAGGATCCATCTGGGAGGTAAGCTCTTCCCCACGCTCATCTCCTTCCACTTCCCCTTGGTGACACCTCTCTTCATTGCAGCCACAATTTTCAGGGGCTTGTTCTCAGGCTCAGCACTGTATGGATAGAAAAAGTATCAACTACTTCTCACTAAGGCACCATGTAAACAATGATGGCTTTTTTCTTTTTTTTCAAATGCCAAAGGCCCCATCCAAAGGACATACATCTTAGGAATACTATTCTGGGAGCTGTGGGAGAGTAGAGGGGGAGATATCTGGAGGAAAGCCAGCATGCCTCCCATGATTAACTGCAGGCTATTCCTGACTCTTCTTATGGTTCATTAGTTCCCTTCATACTCAGTCACCTAGTAGGTCTGACATGTAGGATAATGTGCTGCACGATGTCAATTGAATCTGATGAATCTCTCTTTCTCTCTCTTTCTTCCTCACTTCTTCATTTAGAATACCCAAATAATTCAGTTGATGGTAGTTCTTTTGAGATGCAGAAAGTCACACTTTACATGCAGAGTTCAGATTAATCGTGTAAGCAGCGAAGGTTCAGTGCCTTTGTTTTTTTTTTTTTTCAATGGAGACTTATTACAACCAAAATTTCACATGGGTGAAAATCATTCCAGCCACTTAGAATTCCTTTACATTTGCAGAACCTGCTACCAAGTACAGATAAAACCTTGAGGCCATAAGTGAATCATTTACATCCTTAGCCTTAGTTTCCCAGCCTGTTTCAAAGAAATAAAGTAAGCTGAAGGAAAATATCCTAACGGCCTTTCTTTCTTCCCTCCTGACCTCTCTACTTCTCATTTGAGCTATTCTATTCTCCCCTCTTTTCCAGTCAAAACCTGCTCCTCAGATTCACTTCTTAATTGAAGCTTAAAGTCCAAACAGTAAATCTGCAACTGTACAGTTTCAGGCATATCCAGGTGTTGGGGTAGATAAATTTGTCAGGGTATATGTTTATTATACCTGTCATTGTCTGAAAAGTGGCAAGCAGAGATAACTGGAAGTACCTGGGGGCACCGGTACCACAGGGAGACCGTTAGTGAATAATGATACAAGAATATGAAAGCTCAGCTCCTTGCCTCCAGTGGGGGGCACATGAAGGTGTAGTTTGCATCCCAGAGCTCCCTGGGAATCAGGCTGATGCAGGGACTTTGCCTGTCCTGCACGCTTGCCTGGCTTCTCCTTTTTCCCTGTCCTGCAGGTAAAGACCTGTTTCTCCTGGCAGCATGTTCTCAGTAAGTCAGGGTCTGGTTCCTGGAAACACAACTTAAGACATCCCTCATGTACGCAATTACTCAAATATCTGCATGAGGCCCTTTCAGGTTTAAAGACAATACTGACGATTAATTTCCTAGTGAATTTTGAAGTCATGTAGAAAACATGTGTACTATCTCAACTATTTACTGGCTAGGGATCCTGCTAAGGTCATTCAAGTTCTCTGAGCCTCAATAGCCTTGTTTAACCAGAGTATGAATGAAGTAATGTAATTAGGGTTCCCAGAACAGGGCATTGCTCATGATTGGTAGCTGCTAAATAAGATTTTACCTTCATTTTCCTAAAAAAGACAGTTTTTGAGATTCACGAAGACTGTAGGTTGAGAAATAAAGTCTTTTACCCCAAGGTTTGTCAAGCTGTTTGTTACATGTACAGATTCATTTCTCTTCTTGGTTTCACTTGTGCATTTTGGCTGGGGGTGAGTCTTTTCACAGAATACTTGCGGTAACAGATTTTGAGCCAACCCAGGCACGCATGGCTTTCCCTTGCTTTGATGAACCATTGTTCAAAGCCAACTTTTCCATCAAGATCCGAAGAGAGAGCAGGCACATCGCGCTATCCAACATGCCAAAGGTATTTCTACTTCCAGAAACGTTGAGAAATTGTTCTCAAATTGAGACTTGGTCTTTGTTGTTTGTTGTTGTTGTTGTTTTGTTTGTTTGTTTAATTGCTTTAGGATTTCAGTCATTAATTTGTTTTTTATCTATCTATCACCATCATCATCTCAATCCTTCTAGACTTTAACATCATTCTCTTTGGGGCATTGTTACACAAAAAACTTTTTTTTTTTTTCAAGCAAAGTGATTTATACTTTGTGTTTATATGGAGAAATATCTTAAATCAGTGTCACTTGGCCAGGGATGAAATTGAGAATCACCTAGAGCAGCACTTCTCAGACTTTAGGTTAAATGAATGGTATCAAATGACTGGTCTGAGGATCTTGTCAAAATTCAGATTCTGACTCAAGAGGTCTTGGGTTGAAGCTTGAAGTTCTACCTTTCTAACAAGCCCCCAGGTGATGTTACTGCTGACAGTCCGGAGACCCCTTTTGCAGTGACAAGGATCTCAGGGACTTTACAGGGTCCCAGCCCAGGAAATTCTGATCTAGTAGCCTGTGATGGAACTTAGAAATCCCCCTTTATAAGTTTCACAAGTAATTCTTAAATTTATGAAAATTGTTAATTGTGGTTATACAACTTTTTTAATTGAAGAAAAAAAAAAAACATTGGGACTCTTATTTGACCGATAATGGTACTCAAAATGCAGAGACTCTGGAAGGCACAGGAGACCCTTTTCCTTGTTTGATACTTCCTCATTAATGATGTGCTTGCCATTTGTGCTGCTGAACAAAATGTAAAATATTTCTGTAACGCTGCTTGGAAAGTAGGACAAAAATAGAGGCTCTCCTGACGGTGCCTCAGAAAGGCAGCGCACAGGAGGCGGCAGGTCATCCACAGCCAGCAAGTGGCCGCATGCCCGTTTTCCTCTCTGCCTCTACAGATGCAGGAGAGAAATGAGCCCATAATCTAGACGCTGCATCTCCCCAGATTTCTACTTAATGCTGGAAAAGACGTTTGCTCTGAAATACTGGCAGAGTAGACCAAAGGCAAAAGACGCAAACCTCAGTCGGACCCCATAGCTCAGTTTTTCCATGATTGCTGACAGTGAGCAGTTTAATTAGCCCTTCATTTTCAGGTAGCAACAATTTGCTACTTTGACACCAAGTCTTCTTTCTAACAGCATGTTCGTTTCAGGACAGTGTATCATTGTAATAGCTTTCCTGGAAATTTTTATTAATGTGATTTTTTTTATCTGAATAATCACGGTGGGTAAAGTAAAAACGGCCCTTTTCATCAAATAAAATACAAACATAAATTGCCATTATCATTATTATATTAAAATTTAAAATTTATATCTTAGAAATCTCCAGTAACTTATCATGTTTAAGGAAGAGAAGCAAACGCTTTGAAAATGTTTTCTTTTTTTTCCTCTTTCTTTTTTTTTTTTTTTTTTGTTTGTTTGAGATGGACTCTTGCTCTGTCTCCTAGGCTGGAATGCAGTGGCACGATCTCTGCTTACTGCAACTTCTGCCTCCTAGGTTCAAGTGATTCTCCTGCCTCAGCCTCCTGAGTAGCTGGGATTACAGGGATGTGCCACCACGCCTGGCTAATTTTTGTATTTTTAGTAGAGATGGGGTTTCACCATATTGTTCAGGCTGGTATCAAACTCCTGACCTCGTGATCCTCCTGCCTCAGCCTCCCAAAGTGCTGGGATTACAGGCATAAGCCACTGCACCCAGCCTTTGAAAATATTATTTAAGGTCCTTGGATGTCTACTTTGCCCAGTTGACTGCAGCAGCTCACTGGATCATGCCCTTTTCAGCAAATACTGATTTAACATTCTGCTTGTAATAGACATTGACCAACCCAGGCTCTCATGGTTAGCCAAAAAAGGAGAACTGAATTAATGTCACAATCATACTCTCTAGATAACAGTTGCTGCACCTAAGCTGGGCTATGGACTGGTGGGAAGAAACAATATGCACTCAGTTCTCAATTTCCTCAGTTAATGCAGAATCTAAGAGAAGTGAGGAGCCACCCGAGTGCTAGTAGGGGAGGCATATCTTTTGGACACTGATTTGTCTCTTTCATCCTTTAAGGGAACACAAACCCACTGATGACAATGTCTATGCAAGTCAAGTTCTGCTGGTATTGAGAAAACAGTTAATGCTTGTCTAGCAACCAGTGTTTTGTAGGTGGAGCTTACATCACCATCCTGGAAGAACTTACACTAGTACCTCATACACGTCCATTTAAGGCAATGTTAATCTGCATGGGTCACTCTAGGTTTCTGAACAAAACTCAGCCTCCATGGACTACATCGTCTTCCTCTGGGGGTAGAAATCATAGCAAACACTTGTCTGCCTCCTACCATTCCTGCCACGAGCTTTCTAGTAGCCCAGACTCACTTCCCCATAGCCTCATAGACTATTCCTCCACCAGTCACCCTTCCACACACTTGACTAGATGGTTTTGCTGCTGAGTTTGGCCAGAAGACCACAATAATACCCTGTCTCCTAGCCCCTACCATAAAACAGCATCTCTTCTGCTGGGAGTGGATATCCAGAGAATGTTGGTTGAATCAGATTCCTAAAAAAGGAGACTGTTGTTGAGTGAAATTAATTTGCTGGATAGAGTTTTTTTAAAAAATTCAGCCCTGTATCTACTTCCACATTTCTTAGAGTATTTGGTCAGTATCTTCTTCTTAATTGGAACTTAGAAATAGATTTCAAATAGAATTCAGTAAAATTAAATTCCGTAAAATTTAATAGCAAAAACATTTGCCGTCAAAGTAGACTGGATAATTTGTGGTAATGCTTCAAGCTATTTTCTCTCACCAAAGCACACCGTAATCTTATCCAGCACATCAAACATGCTTAATAAGTTGCAGTCAGCTTTGTCACAAGCCTGACTCCCAGAACGGGCTTGAGGATAGAGATGTGGGAGAGCCAGTCTAAGAGTTGTGACTAGCTTGAAGAAAATGTTTTCAGATTATTGGATGTGTATCCATTCAGTGTTTGGGGGCATTGTACCACGGCGAAGACCATCTCTGAGACAAGCAGCCCAGACCAAATGAAGATAGAATTCAGTCATTACCCAGTGATCTTGATGGATGCAGCTGACAAGACTGTAGGCTGAAAAGTTTCTGCTTCCTCAGGCGATGGGCAGAAGCTTAAATTACTAATGACCTCCTTGGCCTGACTGCTTTCATTGCTGAATCAATGAAGCAAAGATAAAATAAGACCATGACTCAAGCTGTCACGCAGCAAATGAGAGGATGAGCATCATCTCTGGAGTCACACGGTCACATTCACATCTTGGTCCCACCATGGAACTAGCCATGTGATCTCCACCAATTCAGTTAACAATTCTGAGCCTCTGTTTCCTCACCTGAGAAATAACACCAACCTCACACTCCATAAGATTAAAAGATAATGTGAAGCTCTAGTTCAGTTTCACTTCCTGTTTCCTTTTTCTGCAGAGGTATATTTTTTGTACAACAAAGGGAAAAGGGGCATTATCTGGTATTTTACTTAAAAGCCCAGAAGTTGAATTGATGCCAGTGTTGGAGATTACTGCATTTTAAGAAAATATAAACACCTAATATTTTTGTGGTTTCAATCAACAAAATGAGATTTGGTATTTTTGTGCTTTGGGGATATCAAAAGTGGGGCTTTGTGCCTTCAACATAGTGCTGGGATAAAAGCAATAGAGGTAAGAGAGGCCACAGAATGCTATGAGTGGCCATTGCCCTCCTACAAGGTCATCGATTGTCCTTCAGAGTATCTGGCTTGCCTTTTGAGTTAGAGCCATAAGTCATAGGCATGGCTATGAAATACTTCAGTTTTCAAGTATGGATTATTCCTTTTCCTTTCTGTAGGTTAAGACAATTGAGCTTGAAGGAGGCCTTTTGGAAGATCACTTTGAAACGACTGTAAAAATGAGTACGTACCTTGTAGCCTACATTGTTTGTGATTTCCACTCTGTAAGTGGCACTACCTCATCAGGAGTCAAGGTGAGACTGAGTTCTATTTTCTATGCATGGCAGAATATTGTCCTGAGAGCAATGAGCTTTTATTTTCTCATGTTTTTCCTTATTATTAAAGCATTATGCTCGTATTACAAAAAGAGATAGATAAAAAACTAAACTAAAAATTATTCATAGTCCTGTCACCAAGATACAACTACTGATAATAGTTTAGCCTTCCAAATATTTTCCATATGTATGTCAGCATATAGGTATGTACATAGTAACTGAATTTACTGACTATATATGTAAAGGTATTTTTCAAAGTATATATACACACAAACACACACACGTACATACATATACCCTTTGCAAAATAATATATTGATGGTTTTTAACCCATTTTTATCAATATATGCCATAAAAGTTGAATGTCATGAAAAATTATAAATATTATATTAATAATTGCATCGAAGTCTAATAAGGATTTTTAAATCAGCATCTTATTTTTGAACATGTATGTTTTCTCCCACTCTTTTTTTGTGTGTGTGATAATGTCTTGTTCTGCTGCCCAGGCTGGAGTACAACGACATGATCTCAGCTCACTGCAGTCTTCACCTCCCAGGTTCAAGCAATTCTCCCACCTCAGCCTCCTGAGTAGCTGGGATTACAGGCACCCACCATTATGCCCAGCTAATTTTTGTATTTTTGTAGAGATGGGGTTTCACCATGTTGACCAGGCTGGTCTTGAACTCCTGACCTCACGTGATCCACCTGCCTCGGCCTCTCAAAATGCTAGGTTTACAGGCATGAATCACCTTGCCTGACCGTTTCCCACTGTTTTTTAATAACTTTTTTCCTCAACCAAAGGTCTTTATAATTTTTAGAGTCTTCATTGTTTGTAAAAACTTACAACAATACCTAATGATTATCTTTGTAGTTAAATATTCCCAAACATCAGTGGACACATTAAATAAATAAAAAAAGAACTTCTTATCCCAAGGGACCAAATTATAGATATAAAAACATCTTTAAAGTTTATAAAAGAATGTTTTTGAAAGAAGGAGATAGGCCAGGCACAGTGGCTCACACCTGTAATCCCAACACTTTGGGTAGCCGAGGTGGGCAGATCGCCTGAGGTCAGGAGTTTGAGACCAGCCTGGCTAACAAGATGAAACTCCCTCTCTACTAAAAATACAAAAATTAGCCAGCCATGGTGGCAAGCACCTGTAATCCCAGCTACTCAAAAGGCTGAAGCAGGAGAATCACTTGAACCCAGGAGGCGAAGGTGGCAGTGAGCCAAGATTACACCAGATACTTCAGCCTGGGCAACAAGAGTAAGACATTGTCTCAAAAATAAATAAATAAATAAAAGAAAAATCGGTATAAAATGTCTATTACAATTTACATACATATAATGCTTATGAATATGTAGATATGTGAGTTGTGTAGCTACATACACATCGTGGCACCTCTGCACATAGATACATATGTACATAGACATGCATGGGCAGGAGGTGACTGGCACTTTAGAAGACAGGTTCCCATCAGCCTCCTTGGATGCACATCCCAGGTCTTCAACTTTCAGCCTGGGTGATCTGGAGCAAGTTACTAAATCTTCATGTGTTTTCGTTGCTTCATCTATAAAATGGCACCTGCTTCATAGAGTGTGTGCAAATATTAAATTAGGTTTTACATGTAAGCATTCGGCATAGTGCCTGGTAAACTGTCAAAAAATGATGGCCATTTACATATTTTCCATATAAAAGTTCTGAAGGACTTCACTTAATTCAGAGCATAAAAGTGTGTCATGAAATAAAAGTAGCCCTATACTTGGAAGCCAAGAAAATTGGAATCTAATTCTGTTTTTTCTACTTAATAGCTAGTTTCCTTGGGGAAGCCTAGGAACGTATTTGAGCATTTCTTGGTTTAAAGCAAACTTGAGAGGCTGGATCCAATAAGTTCTTCAGGGTTTCCCCACACGGGTCTAGAAACCTATGTTTTATTTGGATTGTGTTTGTGGTCATCATTTCAGAAAGCTAGTTGTCAAGTACTTGGGTTATGATACGATGGGCCAATATGGTTTGAAAGTTACAGACGAACACTGAGGAAATGGATTGTAACAGATGCTGCAGGGTGTTTGTAATTTTCAAGACCGACTTTTGCTTTCATACTTCACAGAACCTCTTATCCTTATTGATAACATGCTTAATGGCATCTTAATACTTTCTTGAAAAGATAGAGTCTGCCTTTCTGTGTGAGAGGGTTGTCAGGAACGGAATTATGCCAGGGAGCTGTCATTCAAAAACCTCTTCTGATCCACATTTCCCAGGTGTCCATCTACGCGTCCCCAGACAAATGGAATCAAACACATTATGCTTTGCAGGCATCACTGAAGCTACTTGATTTTTATGAAAAGTACTTTGATATCAACTATCCACTCCCCAAACTGGGTATGTTCAAATTCCACATTATTGTCATTTTCTTCATTTTTGCTCATAGAACTTACTTTGAGTTCTTCCCTCCTTCTATCTCTTTCTATGTGATTTAAATGAGCACTAAGGAATTCAGTTAGCTCAAGAAAAAATCATTTGTTCCTCAGAGATGGTCCCTAAGTGCAGAAAATATTTATGAGATGCCCCGATAGTGTGGATCATTTCTCTATTCTTTTATCCCATTTAACGTTAATATATCTGCATTGCACTCTCCCAGGCTGATCAGAAAAGGCACATACTGGAGGCTTCGACAGAAGCCAGGTAAAGGGCCCTGGAAAGAGATGGGGAGAAAGAGGGAAGGAAAACAGTGACTGCTTTCTTCCAAATAGGAGTCCATGTGTCCAAGGGCTCATCACAGGAATGCTCATTGAATATTTGTCCACCGCAGTGATGCTGTGGCTCCCTGTGGCAGACATCATGGCTCTTACCCATTATGTTCCTCTTCTGTGGGAGGGAAACACACCTCCCATCATGCTGTTCTTCTATGCCCCAGCAGCGCTGATTAGAGAATGCATTTTCCATTAAAAAATACACACACACATGCACACACATTGCATATTACAATTAGAGGAATTTCTGGAGCAATCGCTATGTCCTATTTATTTGTACAAGGTCAACAATCTTTTATTTTAGTTTCACTTTTTACACTTTTTATTTATTTATTTGAAATGGAGTTTCTCTCCTGTTCAAAGGTTTATGTAGACAGAGAACTGAAAACTATGCCTCCATCTGTTACTTATATTGGGCACTGAGGTTGGATGGTAAGACTGTGGAACAGATTTTTAAAAATTGTAGGAAACAGATCATTTGGGTGTGGTAGTAGGTCTTTACCTGAGATGATATTCGTAGTCTATCTTGCTTTTAATTTTCTATCTTAAAAAATTTTTAAATTCTAGTTTTAGAATATTATAGAGCAGCAGGCCCCAACCTTTTTGACACTAGGGACTGGATTTGTGGAAGACAAATTTTCCACAAATGTTGGGATGATGGTTTTGGGATGAAACTGTTCCACCTCAGAGCATCGGCAATTAGGTTCTCCTATGGAACATGCAATCTAGATCCCTCACATGCGCAGTTCTCAACAGGGTTCATGCTCCTGTGAGAATCTAATGTCGCCACTGGTCTAGCAGGAGGCAGAGTTCAGGCATTAAGGCTGTGTCGCCCACCACTCACCTCCTGCTGTGAGGCTGGGTTTCTAACAGGCCATTGACAAGTACTGGTCCGAGGCCCGGGATTGGGAACCCCTGTTGTGGAGTATATAAAAATTGTGATGAAAGTTTCATAGCATATACAGATTAGTGCTTGGGGTTTCTGCTAGTGACAAAACAGTTTTTTTTTTCCTTTGGGATTTAGAATATACTTCTTATCATGTCCTTTCTCACCTCTTGCCCCCAACTCCAATGCATTTTCTTTACATAAATTAAAAGAGACTGTCAATTGGCATACAGTTCTAGGCTTAAAGAAATTAAATGCTATTTCCAGGGGCTTATTTCAATAGTTCCTGAGTCTCACTCTATTATTATTGTGCAGGTTCTATATACCCTTTAGTACAGATACGCTAAATCCCATCTATACATAATTCATTGCTGTCCTCTAGGTCAAAAGCCAAAGAAAGATTAATAATAGCCATCAACAATATTAATGTTCTTCTTGAAAAATGCAGTCTTAAAGAGCATATGGAATATTTTTATGACTAACAGAAAAGAAACATGCAACTTAATAGAGGAGATATAAGTACCACTACTATAAAATCATCATGCAATTTAGAAGAAAAGTCATTCCCACATTTGAAGTGCTAATGAATACTAATCTTTATTACTGCTAATTTAGTTTTTGATTGTGTTATGTATACTTGTTTTTAATCTACTAGAATTAACCAGTATTAACTCCAGACAATGTAATTATACACCAAGTAACTTGGTTCATTTTGAACTTTTTAAAAATTATCTTTTTTTAAAGCTAAATAGAACTTTTTAGCTAGCAAAATTCAAAGGCTAAATATTAGCCAGAAATTTTTAAACTACATGAAATCATTAGCAAAGGATAGCAAACAATGTAGGTATACATATACCTGTATATGTGTGTGTGTGTTTGTATGTGTGTGTATGTTTGTATGTGTGTGTTTGTATTAATTTGCATTCGTAATATATACACACACATACATATAATGCAAATTAATGCATTATACCTGAGTTGTTTAAAGATGATTAGGTTGCACGTCCCCCCCTACAATACTTTCTTAAGAAGTAGAGGAAATATCAGTGTTAAAAAGAAAATTGAAGTTGGAAAGAATCAATGCCCAGAGCTTTTTCCTCTACTCTCTTAGAAGGACATTTGCTTATAATAAAAGCTATATGTGCTAGAAATATTATTGAAATATTGACTATAGAGATGGCTCCTAAGAGATATTCTCCTGAAATTAAAATCTTATATCTTTTTTTTTCTAGAAACAAGTTCATTATGTTTTGATAAATCTCAATCATATTAGAAATTATTTGATACCTTTTTAAAAAAGGTTTAAAATACAATATGAATGTTTTTAAATGAATTATTTTCTTGGCAGTAAGGCACCCAAAATATTTTTAGAGTTCAGTACTTTCAGGAAGAAAATGGCTAAATGTCAAAAGGTTACTTCCTCTACAAAACTCTTTGTACAATTTATTCCACTTGATAATGGGCACTGATTATTTTCAGTGCAACTATAAGACAGCCTATAAATGTTAAGGTATTCTCGATGTTTTCAGAAAGTCTGCTTACATATACTTAAAGGATCATCATGTATTTGAGCAGGGAGCAAATTCTATTTCTGGTGTGGGAGCCATAAGAATTAAGTATGGTTGTTCTTATTTCTTAGATTTAATTGCTATTCCTGACTTTGGATCTGGAGCCATGGAAAACTGGGGCCTCATTACATATAAGGAGACATCACTGCTTTTTGATCCCAAGGCCTCTTCTGCTTCTGATAAGCTGTGGGTCACCAGAGTCATAGCCCATGAATTGGCGCACCAGGTACTTGGCACTCATGACATTATCTCCATATTAGTTCAAAAGGACATTATATAGAACACCACCAATCTTCCTGAGACAAAATAAATCATATCATTTACCTCTAGAGGGGAACTGAGAGAGTATTAAACCTACCACAATATGTCAAGTAGCAGGGCACTCAGTCTTTGAACTATGATATGCATACTGGAATTTTATCACCAGAAGTAGCCATTACATTTATCGTCTAAAACCTTTCAAAGCAAAGCCTTCAAATGTCCTTTGGGAAAAGAAGGGAAGTGACTATGCAGACACATGAAGCACAGAATTGGAAACCTTGCACATAAAGATTTCTGCTAAAAATATTTCTCCTTATATCCCCTGGTACTCTGGCATTCTAATCTAGGGCAAAATCAATCTTCCTTCAGTTGGAACCTGTGTGTATATGGCCATAAAGAAATACTTGAAGTGAAACTTGATGGGCTGATGATGCTGGGCACATTACCTAACTCTCTGAAATCCAGTGTCCCCATCTATAAAATGAAGTTGATAATAGTCTGTTTCATAAAGCTGTTGTGAGAATTATAGATAAGGAAAGTGTGCAGGTCACATAGTAAGCACTCAATAAGTGTTAGTTATTAATGATGATGACAATGGCCACTACTTCTACAAGAAATACTACTATTTCTTGTATGTCTTTTTAAAAACGGATATAGTGATCTGAACACTATACAAATTTGCATATCTAGGTGGTTAGTAATGGCTAATTAGGTCTTTGGGATGTATATTTAGTACAGTATGCTGTAGACAAGAAATACTACTATTTCTTGTAGCATAAGGTATCTAAGGGCCATCTATCAACTCTGTATTACATACAAATGTGGAACTGTAAAACTAGGTCTATAGATATCAGAGACTATTCCCTCTATGTCATTTCTGAAAAACTCTCAGTAATGCAGTAAATTATTAAAGGCACCAAAATTGTCTTTCACCAAGTGGGTGAATATCATTCCAGTGTAGAATCTGGTAAAATCTCTTATTTAAAGCATTTTAACTTTATCCTTTATCATCACCACAATAATGTGGTGGTGTTCTTTAAAGCAGTGAACTAAATACTCTGTTACACAGAGAGCCATGCTCAGCACTGTGCTTCGAGAACACATGGGCTGCTTCCTCTGGTTCAGAGTCTCCCCACTGGCCCATTTTAGGTATTTTGATCAGGAGTCACCAGGAGCTCTAAAGCACTTAACTGAGTCTGGGGATTTCTAATCTTTCTGCCCAATGTTTGTAGGGAAGTGCTCTGTGAGCTCTCCGTCTGAGGCTCCATGCTCCCTCTGGCCCTCCCTTTAATAGCTTCTCTTCCACGGAGATGCAGGCAAGTGCTGAAGCAGCAAACAGCACTGGAATTTTTGATCTCAGTTTTTTGTCTTCCCATTGATGACCATATTAGCATGTCATTCTGTGCATAGCCCTGGCAAGGACTCCCCAGTGCCAACTGTCTGAGTGTGGCATACAAGGTTCCCATGACCCAGCTCCTTTTTACCTCTCCAGACTCATCTCTTGCCTATGCCCAAGCTTTAGCCATCCAAGATTACCTGCCACTTTCTGAACATGCCAGGTTGTATCACTATGCCTTTGCTCCCGCTACCTGATATTCAGCATACCTGAGGACTATTTACAAAGCTCAGGTAATGAACATTTCCTAACTGTTCTATACACCATCCTGCCAAAACTGATTATTTCCTCCTAGAATCCCCTCTGTCCCTGGCGAAGACATTGATCTTAGCACCTGCTTTACTGTATTTATTTGTCTACTGGTTGACCGCCATTATTTGTGTTGAGGCAGTGTTTATATTAGACACATCTTTGTATTTCTAACATATGGCGTGGTGCCAGGAATGCAGTAGGCTCTCCATAGATATTTATTGAATGAATGAATGAACTAGTTTTACTAACTGGTGAAGTGACCAGAATCAGTTTATCCTGTACTTCTTACAGTTGCCAGTTCTCAAATTGAGGAAGTACCCCTCTCTCTTTCCGTGAATGTACTTCAGAAGATTGGTGCCACTTGAAAGTAATCTGAGGGCTGTCAGAAAAGAAATAGTGCTTAAACTGTTTCTAGAGCTACAGATCTATAATTTTCTCTTCTGTAACTATGACCAGGCTCTTCTGAATCTTAAAATCTTATTGTTGAAACTCTGGTCCTTCTAGAGATTGCAATCTTAAAGACATACACTAGATACACAGTATTAGGCATATAGGCTAAATAAATAAAATATAAAAGTCCATGAAAGAATAGTAATATTTGAAATGTATAATACAGATCAAATATAGGTAAAGGGTAAATACGTCAATTATCTTTATGCATCCTTTTTATTTTATTTACACATATTTTAAATCTTAGACCTTTATTGTTTCTAGTGGCCCACTGGAAGTAAGTCAGGGGCAGAGGTTAACAACTGAATTTCATCATCAGTAATATTATATAACAATCTGAGAGCCCTAAATGAATTCTTATGATTCTCCTAAGTACCTGCTACTTAATGTAAAAAGATGACTTCACCCAGGGCACTTGGGTTTATATTTCTCCCTAGAACATCATCACATATCAAGGACAAGGTGAGATTGTTCTTACTCTGTGGAAAAGAAAAACTACCTTCATAGAATGTTCCATTTTATTTCTTCATATTAAATCTAATAGCTAGGAAATGTTGGGCAGATAGAATGAAAGTTGAAGAATTAAGGGCATTGAGAACATGCAAAAAAGGAAAAAAGAAAATCAAGAAAAAATGTGGTGGGAATAAGAAGGCAAGGAAATCAGGAGAATATTGTACAAAGAGATAAGGGTAGCAAAGGGGGAAAAGAGACCCTAACTAATTTTTTTAAAAGTTAGTAACCATTATATTTGTAACCATTTTTATTTGTTTAACTTCTAATAACATTGAGTTTTTACCTCCCAGTGGTTTGGCAACCTGGTCACAATGGAATGGTGGAATGATATTTGGCTTAATGAGGGTTTTGCAAAATACATGGAACTTATCGCTGTTAATGCTACATATCCAGAGCTGCAATTTGTAAGTTTACAATTCTGTGTGTCACACCATATATCATAAAGAATCATCAATTCACTATTAAAATTTCAAGGGAAGGTTAAAGAGAAAAACTACATAATGTAGCTTTTGAATATATGGCATTTTGTTTGATATGCAAAACAGATCACAGAACTGGATGAAACACTGAAGGTTTTAGAAAATGATTAATATAAATCTGTCACCCCAAAGTTTGTGAACAGAGAAGGCAAAACTAACCGAAATGTAGAGCTGTGTATGTGAGGTGACAGGGAAGAACATCACTGTTTGTATACATCCACACAGGAATGCCCATGGCTACTAGGTAGTATACAGAGTTCTTGGCATGTAACCTGAAATCAGCATCACTGGGGGTGTACTTTTCTAGAATTTCCAAAGGGTCTGCTGGCTTCCCCAAATTGTGTGAAGGGATTTATTCAAGTACGTCTTTTTAAAAATGCATATAGTGGTCTGAACACCATATAAATTTGAATATCAAGGTGGTTAGTAATGGTTAATTAGGTCTTTGGGGTGTATATTTAGTCCAGTACACTATAGACAGACAGGGATTCAAAGTTAGGCTCTTCTTGTTACTGTATATATTCTGAATTTGTGGCTTAATGCCAAAGCTTTATATATTCTCATTTGTAAAATGCATATACTGCATCTTCCTCGCAGAGGTGTTGACAGGGTTGCAGGTGACAGGTCTAGGCACATAACAAGTATTCACTAAATGGAAACCGTTATTTTATTCCTGTATTCAAGGGCTGGTACATAGTAAACATTCAGGCAATATCTGAAGGAATATTGGATTCGTATCGTTTTAAAGTAGAGAAACGGTGAAAGGGGAATACATAAACAAAAAGAAACATCTTGCAAGAAATATCGATTGAATTCTTACCTTTAAGAATATCTTACTAAGCCTACTATGTTTTCTATTGTTTTTACAGTGTCCAATAGAAACTAAAACTGAATATTTTTCTCCGTTTAGGATGACTACTTTTCAAATGTGTGTTTTGAAGTAATTACAAGAGATTCATTGAATTCATCCCGCCCTGTCTCCAAACCAGCAGAAACCCCGACTCAAATACAGGAAATGTTTGATGAAGTTTCCTATAACAAGGTAGTAAATATCACATGCAGGTGCCAGCTCTGCCTTTAGAAGAAATATAGTAATGACTATAAAATCAGCAGTTTAAGTCGTCGGTGCCAGTTCCTGCTATTTATTTCACTTTTTATTTGTGCATTTTTCAGACATCACACATGTTCCATAAAATTTAAGCTTCCTTTAAAAACATATCATACTACCCTTTTCTTTATCTCTTTTTTAACACTTCTCTCTTTTTTTTTTTAAAGGGAGCTTGTATTTTGAATATGCTCAAGGATTTTCTGACTGAGGAAAAATTCCAGAAAGGAATAATTCACTACTTAAAGAAGTTCAGCTATAGAAATGCTAAGAATGATGATTTGTGGAGCAGTCTGTCCAATGTAAGTCATATGTTGGGTAACAGCAGACTGTTATTTAATCTAGAAAGTAACAGAGTAATTGTGAATGTCTATAAATAGTCATGTATTGTCAGTCAACCATATTTATTCCACTTGCTAGGTGGTCATGGTCTGCAGAAGAAGCACTTCCCTTTTTCCTCTGATGCCGCACTAGGATGTCATGCTGGGCTGGCCCCAGGGACTCACTATTTGACCTGACTTTCTTTGGTGTCTCTTCTATGGCTAATCTTATACTTTCATCTTCCGTTGATCCAAAATCTTTAATAACGTTGCAATTTCCTACCATATAACACCTAATCGTCTCTGGCAAATTTTAAGGTTGTCAACCTCGTTCCCCAATATGTATTATTTGTCGAGCAAAACTAATCCTCTCCCTCATAAGAAGAAATCTTGCTCAGTCCCTGTATCATTTTGCCTTTATTTCTAGTGCCTTTACTAACTGAAATGCCCTTTCTTCTTTCCAACAATTCAAACACTATCTTTCATGATCCAGCTGAGATTTCACCTCCTCCTTACAGACTGTTCAGCCCTCATTCATTTGCCTGTCTCCTAAATTTTTAGAAGTGCACTCATAATCTGTTCCACATAATAGCACCCTCTTTTATTGTTTTTATCAGTTCAATAATAATAATGTGCTTAAGAACAAAAATTGTGTCTTTTTTTTCAATACAATAGCACCTAGCATATGTTGATCCTATAATAATGATTAATAAGTAGTTAATGATCGATTAAATAACTCATGGTCTCTTTGTCTTTGGGATTCATGTAGATAATAGGAAACACAAAGCAGAAAAATTCAGTTAATTCAGATGATTCTAATAATTATTAAAATATTTAAAATTTTCCAACTGCAAAGAAAATAATTTTTTATAGAATCATTAGACCCGGAGAACTCATACCTGCAGGTAGAAGAACCCAAAGTCATTGTAGACAGGAGAGATCCTTTCTTTTTTATAAGCATTTGTGTCCCAGGGACAGTAATAATACTGCTCAATATTTATGTAGCAGTTTACAGTTTAAAAAGCACTTTCATGGTTGGGCACAGTGGCTCACACCTGTAATCCAACACTTTGGGACGCCAAAGGAGGTGGATCACTTCAGGTAAGGAGCTCAAGACCAGCCTGGCCAACATGGCAGAACCCTGTCACTACCAAAAATATAAACATTAGTTAGGCATGGTGGTGTCTGCTTGTAATCCAAGCTACTTGGGAGACTAGGGTAGGAGAATCACTTGAGCCTGGGAGGCAGAGATTGCAGTGAACCAAGATCGCACCACTACCCTACAACCTGGGTGACAGAGTGAGACTCTGTCTCAACAATAATAATAATAATAAATAAGAATCAAAGTTAAATAACAAAAAGCACTTTCATGTGCATTATCTCATTTGGTATTTTTGTGCCCTTACAAAGCGCCCTTATTGTCCAATTGATATGTGATTTTGTAGTTAAAGAAACAAAATCCAACAATCAAAAATCATTTTACAGCTCCAGTTTTTTACTTGCATTTCTTGAAAATCCTGAGACTATTGAAATACATAGTTCTTAGTTATAAAAATGCTTATAGAAAATTTGACCAGCAATTACCAGATGATTTTAGGCCAGCAGCGTAGATTCCTGTGGGGTTTTTTTCGTCACATGATGCTTACCATCATCTCAAAAGATAAAGTAATCAACATTACCCCAAATTTATAGGTGAGAAAACTGATACTAAGAGAGAGATTTGCCCAGTCACCAACTCAGTGACAAAGTCAGTACTTAGTTATTCTTTCAATTACTTAACAGCTACTTCCTTGTTATTAAGAAAAGTCCCCCATCAATCTTCCACTAAAGGTCCTAGATTTTAACCAACTCCCTTCTGACACCAAAGGGCCCTGTAGGTATTAAAATAATAAATTACCTGAAAATATCTTGCCCACCATTGTGTCACACAAAGTCAATTCCAATACATGTCAATAGCAACTTGAGAATGAGAAGAATTCTTTGCTGTTATTTTTCATAAGATCATTTAAAGGCATTTGAGAACCTTAGCACATATTTCATTTTTTTTTCATTTGCAGTTGCCCATAGAGCATTAACTACCGGTTATTCAAGGGTCAATTGCCAAGTTGGTAGTTTTCTTAAGTCTCATTTTATTCCCAGTTAGTTTGAAATATTGTACACTCATCACATACTGTTGTGATAGGCACTGTAGGAGCACCCAAGTAAACAAAGGAGTTTCCCCTACTTCAAGTAACTTGCAATATGACAGGGAAGAGTTAATAGTACTAGACAGGGTTGCCTATGTGCTAAATAGGGGCATGAGTAACACGCATAATGAAATAATAAAATAGGACCTTTCTTAAGGGAAAGAGAAGAATTGGATGGAAAATTCAAAAAATTGACTCTTCCTTAGAACAGTTATTGACTTTATTGAACTTTTTAAGGAAACTTTACATATGCTTATATATAAACAAAGAAATCACTTTTATGTACTTCTATCCCAGGTCACCGCAAAGATGCCTCTTTTTTTTTTTCATTTTCACGTTCATTATTGTGTCTGGATGAATTACTTCATATAGCTATTTTAATAAATGCCCACAACCATGGCTAACATGCACATTTAGCCAACTAATGGTGCATACATGGCAATATTCTTTTGTTCTTGTTTTTTAGAGTTGTTTAGAAAGTGATTTTACATCTGGTGGAGTTTGTCATTCCAATTCCAAGATGACAAGTAACATGGTAAGGATAAAGAGAGTCACAGAGTAGAAGAGATCTGTGGAATAGCCTGACCCAGAGTGAGTATGATATATAGAGTAGCCCAAAGAAAAAATTTTTTAATAGAATCATTAGACCCGGAGAACTCATACCTACAGGTAGAAGAACCCAAAGTCATTGTAGACAGGAGAGATCCTTTCTTTTTTATAAGCACTTGTGTCCCAGGGACAGTAATAATACTGCTCAATATTTAGGTAGCAGTTTACAGTTTAAAAAGCACTTTCATGGCTGGGCACAGTGGCTCACACCTGTAATCCCAACACTTTGGGACGCCAAAGGAGGTGGATCACTTCAGGTCAGGAGTTCAAGACCAGCCTGGCCAACATGGCATGCATAATGAAATAATAAATATACTAAAAATACCAACATTAGCTAGACATGGTGGTGCCTCCTTGTAATCCAAGCTACTTGGGAGGCTGAGGTAGGAGAATCACTTGAGCCTGGGAGGTGGAGGTTGCAGTGAGCCAAGACTGCACCACTACCCTACAGCCTGTACTTCTTAAAAGCTAGAATGGAAGCTTTTAAAAGCTGGAGAGAAAGATAGACCCCACGATTTTCTGTAAAACAAAACTGAAGGGAGAATGCTTGGGGTATTTAGGGGGATGATGCTGTTGCTGCTATATTTTTTGTTGTTATAATTCAGCTTTCCCACAACCCCACTGCTAGCTACAAATAGCTCAACATGTTTTTGAGTGGTTACTACTGCACTGGCATCTCTTAAGCTCTGAAAGATCCCAAAATAAATATGCTGTTAGGTTTGGAAATACAGTATGTAGTTTTCTTTTTCCTTGCCTCTGGGAAGTTATAGAATCACTCCAGGAAAGAGGGGGAAAAAAGTCATCACAAGGGAAAAATGAAAAACTTTTTATTTAAAAAAAGAGTCATGTTAATCCCCTACATAGTGATTTCTAAAGGAAGATTCAGCATCATCCAGTGATCAGAAACCCACACTAGAAGCACAGCAGCTAGAGGTTTTGGTCTCCATTCACTATACCTCTATTGATATTAAATTGTTCCATTGAAATATTTAAAGCTTCTCTAAAGATAGACATTTTCTTCCTAAACCATCCCTTCTATATTCTACTGTTATTATAATAGAGAGTTTTTGTTTGATTGATTGCTTTATTTTGTTTGTTTTTGAAAGGGGGCAAGAAAAAGACACCAGTCTCAACCTCCTTTTCACTGGCTTTTCCTGCCATGTATTAACCCTATAAAATCCCATACGCATCCCTCATTCAACTAATTTGCAGAGAGTAGCCCTGGGATAGCCATCCCTAATCCAGTTGCCTGGATTGCCCTTCCTGAGATACCAGCCCGAGTCTTCCATTCCCCAAGCCTTGTTTCTGACATCCAAAGAGATGGAAGTTTCTGATCTCTCTTTGGATTGTCTCTTTCCTCTTGAGTTATCATAGTCATCTGTCATTTCAGCTCACCTTTCTGGGGGAAGATGTGGAGGTCAAAGAGATGATGACTACGTGGACTCTCCAGAAAGGTATCCCACTCCTGGTGGTTAAACAAGACGGGCGTTCACTCCGACTGCAACAGGAACGCTTCCTCAAGGGGGTTTTCCAAGAGGACCCTGAATGGAGGGTTCTGCAGGAAAGGTGGCTACTTTTCTTCTTTTGGTCTAGCTTATCTCGTCTCAGTTTCCTCATTATTTCCTTAGCTTTCTCTCAGCTCCTCTGGCAACTTTGTAGAATGCTAGTTCCATATAGGAAGCAGAGGCCTAAAGTAGACTTGATAAGATTTAAAGAGCTTCACATGACCCAGACTACTTTGTTCAGCAGCACCATTAGTGATTCCATCAGCCTTGAGAACCTCAGTTCTAATGCCGATGGTGGGTAAACTTATGTTATAATGCACTGACTTCCGGGCCCTAATAAATCTTGTAATTGGCCTATACCAGGGAAGTATGACAACTGTCCTTCTTATCAGAGAAAAGATACCCCTATGTGATAAATTAGATGCTAAGATCTCCTATTGCCTTTCATTTTTCAGTAATAAACTATAAATATAATGTCTTAAAACATATGATGTTCTTAGTAATAATAAAAGCAAATCCAATTAAACACACTTGTCATCTTGTTCACCAGCCCATCCTGAGAAAAACCTAGTAGTTAAAGACTACCGGAATCAAGTAACACACTGTCCACATGGTTAGAACTAATGCTACTAACCATGGGTTCTTGGGCTGTCTATGCAGTAGAAATTGATATGAGGCCAAAAGAGTTTTCCCAGACAAGGCTTCACTGGAGCTTATGCCCAGACATAAGGGAAGCAGCATGAGAGAGAGAGAGAGAGAAACAGAGAGAGAGAGAGAGAGAGAGAGAGAGAGAGAGAGAGAGAGAGAATTCCTTGACTGACTTTTCAAAGTCTCTGGTAGAGACTTTTCATTAGGCAAAGGAATTGGTATCGGGGTAGGGTATGCAGTTTGGACTGGGCAAAGCACGTGAGGCATAAGGTATGCAGGTAAGCAATACCTGGTTGCTACGATTATCTTGAGTAATGAGCTACCTGGTAATCTGGCTACAAGCAACAAGGCTGAAAGCAGTTGTTCAGCATTCCTTCCCTAAGTCGGACACTCTACAACCTTGGTTATCTCCCAAGGCCAGCTCCTGGAATTAAAATGAATGTTTCAAACATTAAATTAAAAGGCATGGTCCAAACATTATGGCATCAGTGAGGTAGTGGTGTAGGTTCTGTGATCATTGGGGATACAGGAAAGAAAGCTGTAGTGGGAGTGAGCTGACGCCAAGCCCCCTTCCTGCTCTGTCTCATTATGAGCACTGTTAGAATAAGGTTAATTTAAGATGAATAAGGTTAATTTAAAATGAAATAATCCAAGTGAATCTTTTCTAGTTCTCATGATGATAATTTTGTTTTTAAAGAACTTAGCTATCAATGCTAGAATTTTTCTGAAAATCAGAAACAAAAAGATCTTTAACACATGAAATTACTGGGGCTTTTGGGGGGGTTGTTTAATCAGTTACACATTTCCAATCCAATGGCAACTCTTATGGCACTTCTTACGTATGCATCCTTCTATTTTTCTGTGTGTTGTTTTGAAGTCTGAACTTCAGAGAGCTTAGACAAGTTTCAGCTTGGTAAACCAGACTGAATAATTTAATGTCTGCTTCATTATTGGGAAAGCCGGACTCACAATTATGTAACTTATCAAAATGTCATGAGAGAGTTCAAAACTGTGGCTGACCCAGAATAACAAGGATCTTCTACAATAATCTGTATTTTTCCTCCTTCTAGGGCATTATCTAGACAGTTTTTATAAAATGATGGCCCTCTGATTCATGCCTATCCAAATTCATGAAGTGCTATTCTCCCTGTCTCTACCCCTAGATGTGTTTATCTGGAAAAATCCCTTTTCTTCTGGAGCCAAGATGCACTGATGGATCCCAATCCATTAAGTCTTAGATATTCATCTATGTGGGTTTTTTCTTAAATCTTTTTCTTTTTTATTTTTTTGAGGCAGAGTCTCCTGGAGTATGGTACAATCTCGGCTCACTGCAACCTCTGCTTCCTGGGTTGAAGCAATCGCCCTGCCTCAGGCTCCCAAGTAGCTGGGATTACAGGGCCCACACCACCATGCTTGGCTAATTGTGCGTGTGTGTGTGTGTGTGTGTGTGTGTGTGTGTGATTTTTTTTTTTTTTTGTAGACATGGGGTTTCACCATGTTGGTCAGGCTGGTCTCGAACTCCTGACCTCAAGTGATCTGCCCGCCTCAGCCTCCCAAAGTGCTGGGATTAAAGGCATGAGCCACCGTGCCTGCCCTTTTCTTCCTGTTTGTGTTAATATTTCAGGTTTTCCGGTTAATGATCAGTACTCTGGGGGTAGCATGAGGATCATTTTTCCTGACCCTCACTAGACTAGAGAGAGTCAGGGTATGTTGTCTCCTTTACTGCTTTACATTTTTCCAAGGATTAATGGACACTTCCTCATTTACTCTTTCTGTTTTACACCTGTTGGTGTTATCAAGCACATGATTTTACATGTGCAGGATTACTTTAGCTAACATGGCTTGATTTAATAGAGGAAATAAATTCTAGAGGCTGCTAGAAAGTTAATTAGAAAAAGATAGCCAAGTTCTCCTATTTACTACAGCACAGCCATTGAAAAGTAACTGAGACCTTTTCCTCTAATCCATTCTGCTTTTCTGCTCTCTGGATTTAGCTCTCCTATAGGTCCTAGGCTGTAGCATTTTTGACTATTTATTGCAGTCATTCATCAGTTGGGAGGTTGGATGTGAGTAGTTCTGTTGAACAAAAGGATAAATAGAAAATCATACTGGAGTAAGTTATTTACTTCTTGAGGCTTTCCCTACAGCTTTGGTGTAGTTATTTGAATCAGCATCAGACTGTCAGTTTTTGAAAATGTGAAAGGAATATTGGGTTTTCTTTCTCATACAAACAGCAGAATATGTTATGGTATGAGATTAGGACAGCAAACGACACAAATATTTGTGGCAGAGTTCAACCAGGTAGACAGAGCTGCTCCTTTATAAGTATAAGGGAATCCATTTTTGTATACTTAAGGGTATACTAGTCTTAGCCTGTAAAATTTATGGTACTACTTGTGGGCGGTGTGAAGGATGATGGGTACTTAGGGGCCTTTTAAATGTGAAAAAAATCACAACAGCATTCTTTTCGTCTGTAACTATCTTTACTCTCTAACATAGGTACCTGTGGCATATCCCATTGACCTACTCCACGAGTTCCTCTAATGTGATCCACAGACACATTCTAAAATCAAAGACAGGTAATGAATTAATTAGCCAAACAGGCATTTCAATGTTGAAATTAAACATGTGTTGGGCTATTTGAAGGAAGGGTACAATAAATAAATCTAATAACAAAAGATTTATATTTGAGAGAAATTGTCATTTATCCATATGTTATTTACTAAAATAGTTCTTTCAGTAAGAAAGTCTGGATTTTTTGTTCAGTGGGAAGTTCTCTTGTGCATTTATCATTTAGAGATAGACTATTTACATCAAGAAATGAGAGAAATCTATCTTATGTCCTAAATACCCACTAATCCATTTTTACAGGTTATGCATGAGGCAAAACATGTTCAGTGGAAAAAAGCATGTACTTTAAAATTGATTGCTTCTAGATTTAAATCCTTACTCTCTCACCTGTTAGATACGTGACCTTAAGAAAATTTACAAACTTATCCTGCGCTTCAATTTTTTCATCTCATGTTGGATAAGCACTAAGCCTCACAGAATTGTTGAGGGAATATTATAATGTAATTTTACCCCTGAGTATAATATATGTTGTATTAAAAATACATAGTATAATTTTAATTTTCCTCTAAACACTTTAATAAAATTTGAGAGATTTTTCATCACAAAGTCATGCTTAACCTGGAGTCCTTCTTTTACTGAAATGGACGAATGGATCACCTATTCACTCATACATATTTCAATGACTAGTGACTAAACCTTGAGATAAGGGCACCAGCAAATGAAGCCAAATTCCCGTCATGCTAGTCATCTGGCTCACTGGGCTGTTGCATGCCTGTTAGATCTGCATAGGCAATTTTGGAGAACACATTCAGCAGCCCTATTTCTATGAATTAATTTATTTATAAATTTAAGGCTGTCATCTCCAAAAGAAATCATCCAGTGGACTATGAAAATGAATATCATTATGACTCTCCCCAGACTTTGTCTTCCCATTGATTTATAAGTGATTGCATTAACAGTTGTGGAGATGTTCCTAATGTGTATGTTGATAATAAAATACCTATACCAATTTTATCCTCTTAGATATTCTGGATTTACCTGAAAAGACCAGTTGGGTGAAATTTAATGTGGACTCAAATGGCTACTACATCGTTCACTATGAGGGTCATGGATGGGACCAACTTATTACACAGCTGAATCGGAACCACACACTTCTCAGACCTAAGGACAGAATAGGTCTGATTCATGATGTGTTTCAGCTAGTTGGGTAAGGTAACATTTCTTCCGTCTTTGTGGGAAATGACTGATCCGTAACAAGATGTGCTAGACTTCAATATCAAATGTTCAGCAGTGGTCATTTATTAGATATGGATTTGAATAGAATTCAAACACTGACCACTAGGCCAAAGGCTACCACTAATAAGGTATTTTGACTCATACAGTGTTTATAAATATATTCCAATATTTTAAAATGTGGAGAACTTTACATAAAAATCCTGACTTTTGGACTCTCTTTAAAATGATATTTGGCAACTGTGGGTCTTTATCCTGTGGGCCCCGGGACAGCTGTAAAGGAGGGTGCAGTGGGTCACACTCTCTTTAGGCGATGCCTACTCTTTGCCAAGCACCAGTCTCAAATGGCCTGTTTCATTCACTTAGTGTGGACTCTAAGTATTTGAGCTTGTGACCCCACATTTAAAATGTATTTATGGTAGTAGCTGCTACACCAAATACCTGTGTAATCTCTTAAAGAAAAAGCATAAATATAGTCATAACCTTTATAATTTTAAATGGATTGTTATGAAATCTATTCATTACTTACATTGGAGAAATTAGTATGAAATTTGTAGGGAAATAAAGTAACAATTGGCTGTTTGCGTTTATTCCTCTCTAGACTTTCCTGGAAGGACAAAGTGTTTTCTTTCCTTTTCTATTTCTATTATCAACAGAATAATGTGTAGAATAAATCAGGTCACACGATCACCATTGGGTGGAGGGACCTGAGGATCAGGTAGAATATTGTGTATTGTAAGCTTTCTCTATTCTGAGAATTACTGTGATGCACTCACTTTACTCAATGTACATATAGTTTCCTTTCAGAAGCTTGTTTAGTTCAAATTGAGTGAAAGTGACCAACAGGACATCTCTCAGGCAACGTTTCTCGGTACACTAAAATCCTCTAGTTAGAAAGGAAAGAGGAAGTGACGCTTAATCCTCAGTCCCGTGGGTCTCGGGAACATCTTGGAGGTGTAGCTCATTAGAGGCCAAAATTAGGGAAAACACTATCCTACATATAAGTGACATTGGAGGCCAAAATTAGGAAAAACATCATCCTACATATGAGTGAATACAAGAAAGGTGAGCTAAGAAGCAGGCTATTGTTAGTTCAAGGAGGTTTGCCTGCTCAAAGGAGAAGCTCTGAGCAGACTGAAGAGAAGATAGATTAACAATACAAGACCAGGAAAATAATGGAGAATATTGAGAACTCAGCAAATTAACCTTGTAGGTAGTTGTGAAGTCTTTTTTGCTGTTTCTAGCCTATGCATTTATGATTGCCTAAATTTAGCAGGAGGAAACTTGAAGTTATTGATGCATTGTTAGAAAACCAATCATCTTTTCTTCACTAAGTAGACAGATTAATGAGGTAAAGAATACAAATTTTATATGAAAACAGAAGATTTCAAGTACTACCTCTTCACTTACTAATTTTTTGAGCTTAGGCAAGTTTTTTGTTTTTTAACCTTTTTAAGCCTAAATTTTCGAGTGTTTAAAATTTTAGTCATAATAATATTTAACATACATGGTTTGGAGGATTGCGTAAGGTAATGAAGATAAAGGAGGAAGTGCAGTACCTATTCAATAAATGTCAGCTGTTAACATTATTAGTATTATCTAATACAAATTATTTGAAATGTCATGAGATGAATAGGAAGAGGAGGTAACAACATAGAAAAGTACATTTCAAATAATGCGAAGTTGGGAAAAAAGCAGAATATAAGTTTGTGTATTATTATGTTTGTTTGTAACTACATATGAAAAAAATGAGTGCAAAGAGGAAACAAAAACCTGAAGGAATCATTTTAAAATGCTATTGGTGAGTGTGTAGGGTATTGAAATTATGAGTCTTCTCTAATTTCTAGTTGTTTTATAATTTGTTTATATTTACTTATATAACTTTTATAACAAAAGTAATTTGTATAAGGAAACAATTTAAAGTTCTCATAATAGATAAAACTAAATAAAATATTTTTACTTGCTGTTCTCTCTCAGTACTATAAACCACTTTCCTCCTTGCTTTATGAGACATCTATTTAAGAATTGAAGGAGGCCAGGCACAGTAGCTCACACCTGTAACCCCAGCTCAACCTTTGGGAGGTTGAAGTGGGTAGATCACTTGAGGCCAGGAGTTTGAGACCAGCCTGGGAAACATGGTGAAACTCTGTCTCTACTAAAAATACAAAAATTAGCCCAGTGTGATGGTGCATGCCTGTAATCCCAGCTACTCGGGTGGCTGAGACATGTGAATTGCTTGAGGAGGCTGAGGTTGTAGTGAGCCAAGATCGCGCCACTGAACTCCAGCCTGGGTGACCAAATGATACTCTGTCTCAAAAGACAAACAAACAAAAACGGAATTAAAGGAAACAATAGTGATCATGTTTAGTTTGGAGACAGAAATTTTTTTCTTTTTAATTATTTTTATTTATTTATTTATTTATTTATTTATTTTTGTGGAGGCAGAGTCTCCCTATATTGTCCAGGCTGGTATTGAACTCCTGGCCTCAAGCACTTCTCCTGCTCAGCCTCCCAAATTGCTGAGTTTACAGGCATGGACCATCATGCCCAGTCTAAATCAATCTTTACAAGAGGTGATACTATTTAGTTCTTTAGTGGGCAAGACATGGTTACCCGTTATCCAAGGGCTGGCTCCAGAGCCATTCTCCTAACCACAACACAACACTGTCTCTTTTATCTTCTTCTTGTCCTTCTTCTTCCTTTTTTTTTTTTTTTTTTAAGGTCTCACTCTGTCACCCAGACTGAAGTGCAGTTGTGCACCTAGGCTCAAGTGATCCTCCCATCTCAGCCTCCTGAGTAGGTGGGACTATAGGCACAGACCACCACACCCAGCCAATTTTTAATTTTTTTTTTTTTTTTTTTTTTTTGTTAGAATGGGGTCTGCCTATGTTGCCTAGGCTGGTCTCAAACTTCTGGGCTCAAGCAATCCTCCTGTCTTGGCTTTCCCAATTTCTGGGATTATGGTTGTGAGTCATCATACCCAGCATGGAGATAGAATTTGGTGCAAGAATGGATATCTATTTTAGTTAGGTTTTCATACGTTTTAAATGTAATTTAAAGACCTGAGCCTTGTATGAGTTGAGTGGAATTGAAATGACAACTTCAATTTGCTTATAGAAAAAGCTATATTTGCTTCTTTTAGTCTCACATCTTGAAAATAAACCCCCAAATTGGTGCTTCAAGAATATAATTTTATTTCTCAAAGGTACACTCTAACTGAAATTGGATACAAGTAAGTAGGTATCAATTTTTACTGTTGGGCTAAAGTTTATGTTTATATATGTGTTTATTCTTTAAGCTAAGCAAACATTCAGATAGCATTCTACGCATTGCTTGGAGCACAGCTAATGAGTGGCAGAGCTAAGATTTAAACCAAATGGTCTAGCTGTAATGACCTACTTCTGTTATTGTTCTCTATTTCATATTTGTTTTAATGTTGAGAATATTGAAAACTATAAGTTATGCACAAACCACTGACATTTGTTTTATACCTCAGTGCAGGGAGACTGACCCTAGACAAAGCTCTTGACATGACTCGCTACCTCCAACGTGAAACAAGCAGCCCTGCGCTTCTCCAAGGTCTGAGTTACTTAGAATTGCTTTACCGCATGATGGACAGAAGCAATATTTCAGATGTCTCTGAAAACCTCAAGGTTTGTGTTGCTTTTAGAAAATGCATTAAGTAAATGCACAGTGTCTGGAGTATCAGTGAGGCTCAGTCTGTTTTGTGTGAAGTCCTTGAGGTTAAATCATAAAGCAGCTCGGGAGACTGGCTGATAGCATGTAATGGTCAATGACCCTCGTTCTTTATCATTGCCAATTCTAAGAGCTAGATACCAGGATCACGTGCAAAGCATCTCTGCTAAAGTTGATTTTATTTTATATCCACTGATATTGCCCTTTCAGATAGGAAATTAAACCATGTTTTAATGCAAAAACTCTGTTTCCTAAGTGTGCTGGGTAGGAACCAGAAAAGAGAAGAAAAATACAAAGATACATTATTTAGGCAGAAAGTTTAGAGTTGAGCCCTTTAGATGGGCAAGAGCTGTGTGAAGAACTAAATTTAGCCTCTCTGTTAACCATCTCATATTTTCTGCAGCGTTACCTTCTTCAGTATTTTAAGCCATTGATTGACAGGCAAAGCTGGAATGACGAGGGCTCAGTCTGGGATAGGATGCTCCGCTCTGCTCTCTTGAAGCTGGCCTGTGACCTGAACCATGCTCCTTGCATCCAGAAAGCTGCTGAACTCTTCTCTCAGTGGATGGAATCCAGCGGAAAATTAAAGTAGATCTAGACTTCTGTCCTACTCTTTGTTCTTTTCTCTTTGATGTGAAAGTCTTTGATTAAGCAAGACATTAGATCTAAAACCTTTTAGTGAGGATAGGGAAAAAAAAAGCATGCTGAGAATTACAAATCCTGTTTCATGCTCTCACATTGTAAGTGCTCAATAGATTTTGGGGAAAGCAAGGTTTAGGTGTCTGTGGGGAGACCTAATAAACATTGGCATGATAACAGAAAGACAGCCATGTATTAGAGGCAGGGGAGCCCAATCTCCAAAAGCAATGCCTTTTTAAAAATAAAAAAGATGTTAGAAGAAGCAATATGAAATATATATGCAGTTAAAACACAATTGATCATTTGATAAAACTCATTTTAAAAGAGGGAGTGTTACTTTTTACAAAATGTGTTTGCTACCTTATCAACCAACACTAAAGGTCAAGCCCTAGCCCAAGTTATGTCTTTGATTGGAAATGGATGACTTTGACCATCTAAATGATGTGAATGGTGGCAAAATTAATTCTAGTGATGAATATAATCAGGAAGATGCCCAGTGATCAAATGCATTATGTTGCAGTTCAGTTGAGCAGCTGTAACCCAAGATACTGATAGAAGCCACTCAATCTTTTTAATGTAAGCCTTGATTTCTGTCCAACACATGCCTTTATATCATTATTTTTTAAATCTGACTCTAGAGTTGGATGTTTTAGGAAGTCAAATTTATATACGAATTAAGGAAAATTCGTGTTCTTAAAAGAGAAGAAAAAAATTACAATTTTGGTACCATGAAATGTAACGGTGTCCATTTTCCTTGTGCTGGCCAGGTGCAGTGGCTCACACCTATAATCCTGAACTTTGAGAGGCCAAGGCGGGTGAATCACTGAGGTTAGGAGTTCAAGACCAGACTGGCCAACATAGTGAAACTCCTCTCTACTAAAAATGCAAAAATTAGCTGAATGTGCTGGTGCATGCTTGTAATCACAGCTAGTTGGAAGGTTGAGGTGGGAGAATTGCTTGAACTTGGGAGGCAGATGTTGCCATGAGCCAAGATCACTTAACTGCATTCCAGTGTGGGCAACAGAGAAAGGCCCTATCTCAAAACAAAAACAAAAACAAAACAAACAACAACAACAACAACAACAAAACTTTGTGTGCTAAATTGTTATAAGATGGTATCATAACTTATTTCCCTGTAACTAAATCTCAGTGAGCTTTTTGAAATCCTTTCTTGAATTTTTATTTTTAAAAAAGTAATTCAAGTTTTCTTCTTTTTGGACACTTTTTTCCTTGTTGGGATTCAAGCCTGAAATCAGTTTTAGAAAAAAATGTTTTTTTAATCTTTTAAGTCTATTATTCTCTTCTTTTTGTTTCTGTTTGAATGGGTTGTACAAATGAAGCTAAAATGTAAACATTCTGCTTCCCTATGCAACATAGAATAGTATTATTTCATCTATTTTATACTAGTTACAAGAAGGATCATCTTAACCTGCAGTAACCCATATACAGTAGATACAAGTGTTCAACATGTTGAACATACCTATGAAAATATTCTAGCTAAAGCTTATTTATGCTTGTAATAAAAAATACGTAATGAAATATTTTTGTTTTACGCAAACTCCAAGATGGCTAGTATGAATTTTAATGAAGAATTTCCTTTCATAAATTAATTGATTACTTCATTCATTGGTAGATTTGAAATATAACTAGTTGCATGTTTCCTTTATGCCAGCCAGGCATTGCTGTAGGAGCTAAGGATAAAGTGGTGAACAAAACAACCATGTGGCCTCACTTCAGGGAGCTTACAATGTGTTTATTACCAATTTTTATAAATTTGTTCAGCAAAATACACTAAAATGAAAACAATGTGTATTATAATTTAATTATTCTATCTTTATTACTTTTATTAAAATGTCACTTGGAATGTTTTAAGTACATATAGTAGAGTGGATATAGCACAAGCACAAGAATCACAGGTTTAAATCCCCTCTGGAAAATGGCAAATTATGTCATCTTAGGCAAGTTGCTTAACTTTTCTGAAATTTATTCCTGCTTTAAAAAAAATCAGGATAATAACTGTCTCAGTGGGTAGCTTTTGACAGTTAAGTAAGATGTATGGAGACTAGTACAATCTCTACCACGTGGTCCCTTCATGACAAATGCAGATTTCTGACTCCCTCCCAATGCTCTGCGTTGTGTTTTTTTCTGAGAAATCAGTAATAGTTCTCGTTGATTTGTTGACATTTGGGATTAAAAATCATATGCCCATTTAGAATAAAAAATGATTAATGTCCTCAAGATAATAAAAAATAAAAATAATGGTGTCTTTTGTAGAAGGACAGAAAATAATTTCATTGCATCTTACCAGTTTTAAAAAAAATTATAAAATAACTAGACCCTAATGAATGGTACTAAATTGAGATTCTCTAGGCCTGGAGAGACAGATAACTCCCAGACAGGCCTTAGAAAATGCTTTCAACGAGGTGAATATTTTCATAGGTATGTTCAACAGGTTGAACACTTGTATCTACTGTATATGGGTTACTGCAGGTTAAGATGATCCTTCTTGTAACTAGTATAAAGATGAAATAATACTATTCTATGTTGCATAGGGAAACAGAATGTTTGCATTTTAGCTTCATTTGTACAACCCATTCAAACAGAAACAAAAAGAAGAGAATAATAGACTTAAAAGATTAAAAAAACATTTTTTTTCTAAAACTGATTACAGGCTTGAGTCCCAACAAGGAAAAAAGTCCAAGTCAAGTGCAGTGCCTCATGCCTGTTAGGGCAATGGGTGAGAAGATCACTTCAGCCCAGGAATTCGAGACCAGCCTTGTCGACATCATGAGAGCCCGTCTCTACAAAAAAGTTTAAAAATTAGCCAGGCATGGTACTACGTGCCTATAATCTCAGCCACTCAGGAGGCTAAGGAAAGAGGATTGGATAGGAGGCTGAGGCTACCGTGAGCTATGATCACGCCAGTGCACTCCAACCTAAACAATAGAGTAAGACCCTGTCTTAAAAAAAAAAAAAAGAAGAAGAAGAAGAAAAAATATATATATACCCTCAACTTGGTGATAAAGCATCAAGTAATCATCTTTTTAAAAAATCTTATAGCATCAATAGTGGTTATTAAATGATAGAATTTATATAAACCTGTTGTTTTGTATTTCAGAAATCTTTTGTATTTGTTGATTATATCAACTTTCTATTTTCACCTCAGAGTAGGTTAAAATTTTATGCTTATTTTTCGTGCTAACATTTTATCATAAGTAGGAGATAAAACACAAATAATTTGCAGAGTCAAAGAACATAAAATATTTGTATGAGTTCGGCAGAGAAAAAGATTTAATACATTGAGTACTAGAAATAATTCAGAGACAATTCTGTTATGGGCCTTAAAATTTTAATAAGAAAAAAGAGTTTTTCTTTCATAAACTTTTTTCTTCATTTTTGTGCTTGCTATTACAGTATACCAACAGATGTTTTAAAAATTGTGTATTCTGTGGGTGCTCAGACGACAGAAGGATGGAATTACCTTTTAGAGCAATACAAACTGTCGATGTCAAGTGCTGAAAAAAACAAAATTCTGTATGGTTTGTCAACGAACAAGCATCAGGAAAAGTTACTGAAGTAAGTTCAATAATTTAACTAAATTGTTATAAGTAAACTGACACAAATTCAGTGAAGTCACTAAAACTTCAGCCACCAGTTTTAAAGGTGTAAGATAATTGAATCAAAAGGTATATGGCTTTAACTTTCAGAAAAGAATATATTGACAAAATGCAAATAGTGAAAACAGGTATTCCCTAGTTAATAATCAAATGATTGATACTAGACAAATGGTTGTGTTTTATCTTCAGAAACTTGAAGGAAAATTATTGTTGTAAAAATACATTCTTGCATAGAAAATGTGTGCATGATGCTAATCAAAGTTCTTTGAAATAATAAGTAAACATTTTTGCTAGGAACAAAATAAAAATTATTTCTAAAAAAAAGTAAAAGTTTAATTGGAACATTAAAAATGTTAGCTGCCAGAAAATTTATTATTGTTTTGGGAATTATACTTTTATCATGCCTCTTTCTGTTCTTTTAATATATTGGTAGTTTGAGTTAATGTCCATGTACATAATACCTACTATTTAGAAACAAATGATTTTTCTTTCTTCAGTTTACTTGAACTAGGAATGGAAGGAAAGGTTATCAAGACACAGGACTTGGCACCTCTACTTCATGCCATTGCCAGAAATCCAAAGGGGCAGCAATTAGCATGGGATTTTGTGAGAGAAAACTGGACCCATCTTCTGAAAAAGTTGGTATTTGTTTACATCCAGTGTGTGTTCTTCCATGCAGATGTCTCAGTTGCCCAAACCAAGTGTAACTAAATGTTTCTCAAAGCATATAAATGATACCATCTGTATCCAAATAGTTCAATGAAGTCAACTTTGATACTCCCTAGCCCAAATTATCCTATCCAGGAGTGTGGGAGAGACCTGTGAATAAGGGAAGGGGGAAACAGCCTTCTCTCATTCAGTCCAGGCAAAAAAAAAAAAACCTCTGGGAGCAAGTCCAAGTTGAATTAAATGCAGTCATCAGTCCCTCCCACCATCCCTTCTTGACTGTCTCCTCAGCCCAGAAGAATCTTGAGATGTCTTGTAGAGTGCATCACACATATGTGGCCTCCTTTGTTAATGCAGTTTTGTACTGGGGGAAAGCCTCAGGAATTTTGGTGAGCTACTCTTCACCCCTAGAGCCACTGTGGAGGTGGCACAGTGGAGACCTTGGTGCAGGTGAAAGAAACCCAGTCAGGAGTCCTTGGGGAGATCTCCCTCCAAATTGTTGTGGTTCTGTCTTTTCTGGAATTTCAACTTAGGGAAGAACTAGAGCTCATTTCAGTATGTCCCTGGGTCTAAAATAACCAATAATGATTAGATTTTGTTGGAATGTGTAAGACAGCATTGCTGCTTTCACTCTTTCTCACTCTCTCTCCCCAAATCTAAAAATGTCATTTATGACTTGTATGGAAATATCTTGAATCAGAGGGGTATGATTTGCTTTGTTTATGTCAGGATCAGTTAGCATCCCTGATGTCATTAATTCCTAGTTCCTTCTCTCTCATTTCATAGCTGTGGAAGTTTGCGAGTTCTCAGACAGCTTTGCATAAGCAAAAAGCGCATTTCCACTTCTCTCCCAAATGCTGATTGACATCCACATGAGACCAAATAGAAACTGCTTTAATATGTATGTGTGTGTGTGTTTCCTTTAAAACTCTACTCAAACCATTGATTTGTCTGTTTGCATGATTGTCATTTTCCTCCTGAAATGATCAGACTTTTCTTGCAATGTCGTGGATTTCATTTTAAACTGGAGATGAAATCCAACCATGTGCAGAGCCTAGGTTTGGAACCATTTCTTTTTCTGAGCTGTAACTATCCTCTGCTTTATCAGCATGAATCACTTTGACCCATGGTACAGTACAGATTTTCCATATATAAAACATTGGGTTGAAGGATGCATTCTGTGGCCATGAATGAGAATTCAACCAAGTAACATTTTCCCACTAAACACAATGTTTAAATGTGGTGGTATCCAAAATGGGATACTGAAGTATGCAAGAAATGCAATACATTAGAGTGTCTATTATTTCTTATATCATTTTAAATTTTATGTTGTTATAAATTTATAAACATGATATATAGTGTAAAAAACTAAATATATTTCTTATTTCATCCTTTTAATTTTTATCATATCTTAATACATGCATATAATTTATAAATAAAAATATGCATATTGGGAAGTTTTTGCTCAAAAAATCTTTACTGACAGGAATATGTAACGAAAAAAGTAGGGAACACTGCTTTAAACAGAAACATAAATTTAAACATAAATATTTCAGAATAACTAACATATTTCCCAAAGAAGCTGTATCTGTGTTTTCATTGTATAGTAAAATTTGCTGTTTCACAGCTTTAGAATTGTATTGGATGAATGTTATTATGGTAATTAACAGTATCTATTATAATATACAAGCTTATCACATAGTTATTAACATACACTAAAAATATAATACAGGATACAATAAACATAAGGTCAGTATTTCTATGACCTAAATCTATGGTGTTTCTTTATTTTTTTTCAGATTTGACTTGGGCTCATTTGACATAAGGATAATCATCTCTGGCACAACATCTCACTTTTCCTGCAGGGATAAATTACAAGAGGTTTGTGACTTACTGTTCTTAACAACTTCGAAATAAATGTTCAAATTGTAGAATTGAAAGTAAACTTAGATACTATCTGATTTGAAGTTCTCATTTTATTTTTTAAAAAGGATTTTTGTCCAATGCTATCTAGCAAGTAAGTGGAAGATGCAAGGTTAAAACCCGACTCTTAAAATACATGTATTTGTAGTATTCAAAATGAAAATAGACGAGAGATAAGTCCTTTTGTATTATTTATTTCACATTGTATTTGATGCTGGAGTGATTATATTAAAGTTTGGAAGCATACTTAATGATCTTTTTAACAAACTATTGTTGGTAATTTTAACATGGTAATTTAAATGATCTTTTTAACAAACTCTTATTGGTAATTTTAGTTGTCTTTTAAAAAAAAAACCATTCTAGTTTTTGCATCTTCTTTTCACAATAAATCTTGAATTTATTTACCCTTTAAGCAAATTCATAATTCCAGAACTTAAATCCCAGCTCACCATTTACTCTGTGACTTGGGTAGATCACTTAACTTCTTTCTTTTCTTTTCTTTTCTTTTTTTTTTTTTTTTTTTTTTTTTTTTTTTGAGAAAGAGTCTCACTCTGTCACTCAGGCTAAAGTGCAGTGGCACAATCTTAGCTCACTGCAACCTCCACCACCTGAGTTCAAGCAATTCTCTGCCTCAGCCTCCCAAGCAGCTGAGATTGCAGTCACCCATGACCATGCCTGGCTAATTCTTTTGCATTTTAAGTAGAGACGGGGTTTCACCATCTTGGCCAGGCTGGTCTTGAACTCCTGACCTCGTGATCCACCCTCCTCGGACTCCCAAAGTGCTGGGATTATCCAGGTCATCACTTAACTTCTTTAGCCACAGTATGTTCACTTGTAAGATGAGAATTTATAATTTTTGTCTTATTTTACCTATTGTTTGAAGATAAAGTGAATATGCAGAAAAGAAGAAAATAATCTTTTAGAGGTGGCAGAGAAATGCCTATACCTGTGTGTATGTAATTTGTCTGGCTAATTTTTTTATTTTTTATTTTTTGTAGAGTTAAGGGTTTTGCCATATTGCCTAGGCTGGTATTGAACTCCTGAGTTCAACTGATCTGCCCACGTTTGCCTCCCAAAGTGCTGGGATTGCAGGTGTGAACCATCACACCTGGCCAACACAAAGTGTTTTATGAACTGTGAGTAATTTTTTCTTGCATATTTTACAGGTTAAACTATTTTTTGAATCTCTTGAGTCTCAAGGATCACATCTAGATATTTTTCAAATTGTTCTGGAAACCATAACCAAAAATATAAAATGGCTGGAGAAGAATCTTCCCACTCTGAGGACTTGGCTACTTAAATAGTACTTTAAAATACTCAATAGAAAGAGCACATCAGACGTGACTGCCTACATAAAGTCAAACAGAGTAACAGCAGCAAAGATCAAGTCAAGAGCTATGGATAGTTTGTCTAACCAATAAGAAGTCTCAAGAAATCAGCCAGTGCAGCTGCCTGCTCTCAGCTATCATATCCAGCCGAAAGGTGCATGACGATGGAGTGGTGGGGGAAGGGCAGTTTGTATCCTATTTAAAAGTAAACTTCCTGAATAATGGATATATGTGGAGATACAGACATAGATATATAGATATACCTGTAATTGTTTTGCCTCAAATGACGTTCTCCATTGCTTCACGCTATGCCACTATTTTGCTGCTTTAATTATTTTTAACATTGCTTAATATCCTGTAGTTTACCAAACCAGTTTTTCATACAAGGAAAATTAGCCAATACATAAAAGAAAAATCTATCTTTCATTTGTATCCCTTTATCCCCTCACTCTCCCTCATCTTCAACTCAACCTGAACTAAACAGTTTATTTAATTTTCACCATTCATGGAAAATCTGATACAAACTATGAAAGGACAAGGATCAGGAAACCAGAGACTTCGTCACCAAATCTCAGATTAATAGAAACTAGATGTCAGGGTTTATCAAGGAGGCCAGGAAGGCCTTTTGGTTTCAAGCCTTACATTCATGAAGAACCCCAAGAGCAGATTTTTGAGAACATTCCAAATGAAGTTGAATCTGCCCTCACAGAGATACAAGAGGGAAAGGAATACAATTTTTTTTTTTTTTTTTTTTTTTTTTTTTTTGAGACAGAGTCTCTCTCTGTTGCCAAGCTGAAGTGCAGTGGCGCAATCTTTGCTCACTACAACCTCTGCTTCCTGGGTTCAAATGATTCTCCTGCGTCAGCCTCCTGAGTGGCTGGAATTACAGGCATCTGCCACCATGCCCAGCTAATTTTGGTATTTTGAGTAGAGACAGGGTTTCACCACATTGGCCAGCATGGTCTCAATCTCCTTACCTCATGATCTGCCTGTCTTGGTCTCCCAAAGTGCTGGAATTACCGGCATCAGCCACTGCACCCCGCCGTGCTATTGCGTTTTTAATAAATCTTTTGAAATTTGCAGAATTAGATTGCATTGTATATTTTGGGTTAAATTATAATTAAATGTAAATATTTAAATGCATCACCATATTTTATAGCCCAGCTTTAGCATTTCTTCATATTTTACCTCCTTCTTTTAAGGGAGCCTCTTGCTCCCTGAAACGCCCTGCTAAGTGCTCCTCTTAATTATTTGAATAAGGTAGTTTGGAATAAATAAAGAAAAGGTCACTCTACATGCAGATAGCAAACTTAATCAATTTGTGATCCTATATATGAGTCAGTATGCAAATACAAATAAGTTTTAGAAAGACTTGAAACAATATATAAATGACTGACATTTGCATTATTTAGGAAAGCTGGGGATACTGGGTCAAGGGGGGAAGGTGTTATCCAATCCACTTTGGAGCAATATTATGAAGGTCAGTGTTAGTTCCATATACCTTTCTTTGATGCCACAGTCAGAGACAGAAGACAGTTTGGGTGGGCCATGGATGTGCCCCAATACAGTACATATTTTTTGTTAAATTTGTTTTCAGATCATTTCATGCAATCTTTGAAGTATCTTTCACTTTAACTTTGATGTGGTGGTGGACCTACCGTGGTTTATATAACACCTATATCACTTGTTTTTATAGCACCTATAGTGATATCCTATAGAATTACATGTATTTTAATGTAAGGAAATTGAAAAAGTAAAAAATACTGGTTTTTTTTCCACAAAGATAATATGTAAATTAAGCAGCAAAATGTGTATGAGTTTCAGTAGAACTGTACCATCCACAATGTTTCCATAAATATGCAGTTCTTTCTTTTGTGTTGTTATATGCCATAAATTCCCAAGTCTTTAATTCTCTTCCTTCCAGTTCTTTATTTAAATACAATATTGAATTCAATTGCAATTTCTAGGATTCTAAACAATTGAGTAAAGAAAGTAGCAATTTTATTATTTGATGATAATATGAGAATTACTGTGCCAACACTGTTTTGATAAATAAAATCGTTTTTAAAAAATAAATATATGTACTTATTAATATAGTATTTCAAAAGCCTTATGGTAGATGTTAGGCCACCAACACCAACCTCAGACTTGATTAAGTTACTTTTACTTTCTCTCACCCTGAGTGAATACAATGTGAAAAAGTTATATACAAGGTCATGAATGTATGATGGAGCGAGCTGATACGACTTATCTGAGCTTCCCCCATTCTTCACAAGGCCCAGTGAGAGTTATGTGGTTCCAGCAACCCACTTATAATGAGAAAGATTACTAAAGCCCAGAACCAATGGCTTTGTTTGGGGGAGAGTGAACACTTTGGCCCTCAAGAGTCTAACTAGCTAAACACAGTGGTGTCTCCACAAAAATTACAAAAATTAGCTGAGCGTGGTGGCGCATGCCTGTAGTCCCAGCTACACGGGAGGCTGAGGTGAGAGGATCACTTGATCCTGGGTGGCAAAGGTTGCAGTGAGCCAAGATCATGCCACTGCACTCCAGCCTGGGTGACAGAGGTAGACTCTTTCATTAACAACAACAACAAAAAGGAGTCTGACTGCCATAGTAAGTATTTTCTTATCCTTTATCAGTACATGCTTCTGTACTTTATTCCTTGCTGTCACATTGAGCCCGTTTGAGGTTCCAGACAAGCAGACCTGGCCAGAAACTACTGCAAGGAATCCTGATTTTCTGATGAACTTCCTGGGGTTTTTGGTTTTTTCAAGCCTCCAAATAGTCATAGAAACTACTTTGACATCTGAACACTAATGTCTACCAAACGTTAAGTCTGCTCAAAATGGCCTCTGCAATTTTTCCTTCACTTACATTCTTTATCGACCTTCTTTCATTCATGTAAACATGCATCACTATTTTTAAATTTTTTTTTTCTTTTTTTTTTTTCTTTTTTTTTTTTTTTTTTTTGAGATAGAGTCTCGCTCTGTCACCAGGCTAGAGTGCAGTGGTGCCATCTCAACTCACTGCAACCTCCACCTTCCGGGTTCAAGTGATTCTACTGCCTCAGCCTCCCAAGTAGCTGGGACTACAGATGCCTGCCACCATGCCTGACTAATTTTTGTATTTTTAGTAGAGATGGGGTTTCACTACGTTAGCCAGGATGATCTTGATCTCTTGAGCTCATGATCCACCTGCCTCAGCCTCCCAAAGTGTTGGGATTATAGGCCAAAGTCTTGGGATTACAGCCACCTTGCCCAGCCAAAATTTCAACACATAGTGGTTTACAATTTTTACATTTACAGATTTTAAACCAATCACATATTTGGTTGTCTGCTTCCTGGTATCTTAATCTCATCAAAGCCAAGTATCCAAATCATAGGGAAGAAATCCTGAAAAGGATCATGAAAGAAGTGGCTTTACTAGGTCGAAGCATATGTATATTTCATGTAATATTCTATTTTAATAAACTGTGCTGGATAGTTTCCTTAAAAGGGTGTGAATTCTGAGGGTGAGATCTCTGATCTTTAGTACTATTTAAAGTACCCCTTCCCCTGATATCTTTCTGTATCCTTTAGTTTTAGATGAGTTTTAGTTTTAGTTTTAGATGAGTCTTTTGTAAAGAGACTGTAATTGAATTTTGTTTTACTTAATGCTCCCTAGCTTGGGTAGGCCCTGGGCTTTGTCATCTGTCCCTAGCACGCTCAAAGGCATAAAAATGGAAGCTTCAGATGTTCTCAAGTTGAAAGTTGGCCTCAGTCTTTGGCTTTCCCCTTGGGATTACTGCCTTCACTTAGTTTTTGATCCCAGAGTATTCCTTACTAACTTTCCAGGTCATCAGTGCATTAACATAATGTTATTCTACATTTTTAGTTATTTTTAGCAGAAAGGTCAGTTAAGGTACCTGTTCTAGCATATTCCCAGACACCATAATAATTTATTTTCTAATGTACAAATACCTAAGTCTGCATCATACTTAGAAAGCTGGCAGTATAAACAGATCATTTGTTTAGGATTTAAATCGGGAAAATATTTAGTATTCATAGTGAAAAATCTTTTAAAAGTCTGAGAAATATATATTAGCTAATAAACAAGGTAGAAAAACATTTTTATTTCTTGCTTGCTTCTATAATCTTTCCTCCCCAACCAAAACTTCAAGATCTTTTACAAATGTATTATTCTTTCTTCCAGATGTCCTAATCCTCTATTATGCTGACAGATAAGGTCAGGAAACTGGTTTTCTATTCTCAGTACATAACTCAGTAATTCTCATCTTTATATTTACACACATGATTTCCCACACTTCAAAATTCATGCCTTTCTTTGTTGAACTGATATCTGTTGAATGTCATATTTCTTTCTTTCAATACTGTATCTCAGGTTCACTCCTCCATAAGGAATTCCCATAGTGATACCACCTGGGAGTCCCTCTAGTCATCCAAACAATACCAGAGTTAAAATTACAAACCTCATTTTAAATTAGGCAGAATAAATTGTCTATGAAAAGACTGAAAAGATTCAAAAGACATTTTTTCTCCGTTTTAAAACTGTATTCCACTTTAAAAACTGTTTTCTAGTAAACTAAATTTGGAAATTCTAACTCTCTCAAATTTTGAGTTTGATTTGGGAAAAGGATAGAACACTCTTTTAAAACTCAAAAATGGAAAGATGCCAGGATGGGGCTTGGGGCACTTTTTCTAAAAAGGAAAAAATTTTCTCTGTGGCATAAGACTGCTGGCATATAATTTTATGTTCTTTCTATTCATACCTCCAGATGTAGAGCCAAAGACCAAAAGCAGGAGTCTTAGAAGGACAAACAGGGCTTTCTAAGTGGTTAGGAGCCAACAAGTAGAGAGACTTGAGCTAATAGGAATCAAAGAAAAGATCTGGTTTGAAACAATTGTGCACAATCTATATGAATCAGACAGAGCCCACAGCTGCCAGACCCTCTGTCCTGGGTGAGTTAAACTTTACTCACACTCAGAGACTAATTAAAGTTACTTGAGCAACAGTGAATATGTGTTAATTAATGAAAGGGGATGGACAGCATTTAAAGATTTGTATTTACTTATTCTTGTTCTAAGTTATGCCTTATCTGTAGATAAAAGTTATGACGCTACTGATCAAAGCACAGATAAAAGAAAAATGTTCTATCTTACAGAGAAGCCATTATCAGATAAGAAACACATATTATTCTTTTAGTTTCAAACAACTGTGCCTCTGGGAAGCCTATTTGGATTTTTTTTTTTTTTTTTTTTTTTTTTTTTTTTTTTTTTTTGAGACAAGGTCTTGCTCTGTTGCCCAGGCCCGAGTGTCACAATCGTAGCTCACTGTAATTTTAAATTTCTGAGTTCAGGTGATCCTCCTGCTTCAGCTTACTTCCCAGGTAGTTATGATTGAATATGTGCACCACCATGCCTAGCTAATTTTTATTTTTTACTTTTTGTGGAGATGGGGGTCTCACTCTGGTGCCCACACTGGTCTCAAGCTCCTGTCCTCAAGTGATCCTCCCACCTCGGCTTCACAAAGGGCTGGAATTACAGGCATGAGCCACCATACCAGGTCCTGGCTGTTTGGATTTTAAGGCCAAGGGGAACAAACTGCTTGTTGACCCCTCAGTCTCACTGAGGACCTGGAAAGAAATAGCAGCAGCAGTGTTGGTCTTGCAAGTACAAACCTAAAAAGTGCTGTCTAAAAAAGGAAACTTCATACATGTCAAAGTATATCT